CTGCCTTTTTTCCCGCGAATTGTAAACAAAAGCATAAAACTGTTGTTAACGATCTAACAAGGAACTAGATTTCAATCAAATGAGACAAAATTCTCGACATTTGGGATTAAAGATGAAACCTTTTAGCTCTCTTAGGGTCGACGACCCAAAGCTCAGCGAGTTTATCAGGAGCCATAGCTTTCTTAGCCTCAATTGATTCCAAAGTCGAAGAGCCATCAACAGAGAGGCTGTGCCTGTGTCTAGGTCTTGAATTCCCAGCCTCCGCGCCTCCGTTGTCAGCGGAAAACGGGTTATCGGACCTAGGAGCAGATGGACCAGCCGAATCGGATGCGGATCCGGATCCGGATCCAAGTTTCTCAATGTCCATGTATGAGCAAAAGAGGTCATCTTCGGATCCAAGCTCGTCGAATCCTCCGAATGGTTCAGAGAGATCCAGATCTTCAGGGAGACGGAATTGAACCTCGGAATGTGCTCTCCGGTGGTACGGACCACGAAATGGCGCCGGCGTTGGAGCTGTGGCTAAAGGCGGGCATTGTGAGAGATTGCTCTGGTTTGATTTTGGGTTAGAAGGATCCTCCATATCTGGATCGTCCTTGTTCTTTTTCTCTCTGTTTCGCGCCCTCTTCTTCCTCTGTCTATCTGTCGGAATCGGACAGCGAAAGAGAGAGACAGGGAGAGATTCAGATTTCACGTTTTGTGTCCGAAGGTGATGATGGCCAAAAAAACACGGAACAAGCTCCAAAACAGCGTCGTTTGCGAGCACTTTATTTTTTTTAACCCTTTGAGAGTTTTTGTCTAAGCAACTTTGAAGCTTTGTCTTTGATTACACAAAATCATATGCTTCTTTTTTTGCATTTGATCTTATTAACATACATAGAAACATATAAATTACTATTCCTTGTTCAACAATATTTAGTTTTTCATTAAATATTTTACCAAACAAAGTAACCGGATAAAATCGTAGATAAAGACTAATATCATTTCCATTTCTAGCTACTTATAATATTTTGATAGATCCACACTAGAATGTAATAATGTACTTAAATTTCAAAGTTAATTTTAGTAATGTTTTATAGCGGGTTTATAAGAAAATATAGTTGGATAACTTTTTGAAAATTTGCATTGGATAACATAAAAGAAATATATTAATTTTTTAGTTATTTTAGACACTTCACAAAAAAGTAGCAAATAACCGCCATGAAATGACCGTTATACTAATATAGCTGTTGGCAAAAAAACAAGAAATGACCGTTATATTTTCCTTTTTATATGAGAAGTTTTAGGAAAAGTTATAAAACGATTTAAAATTTACACACTTTAACCGCTGCAATTTATTAGTTGTCTATATCCAAACATATTTACTTTCAAAACTACTTTCCTAAACCTAATTTAACTCATTTTATAACTCATTTAGTAACTTATACACAAAATTTAGACAAACATGTAACTTACTATTTTGTTGCTATTGTTACATGTATAATGCTTAGTACATTTTTTTATATAAATAATATAATCTAGAATCTTAATAATTGTTTTCTGAAAAAAAATAATTTTAATAATTAAATTCGTCGTATGTGACAAAAAATAAATTAGATTCGTTGTATTTGAAATCTATTTAAAGGCTAAAATCTTATACAATGAATGCAATTTTTTTTGTTCTAAGCATTTTAAGTAATACTAAGAGCTTATATAGTGATGATCATGATACATACAGATCACTGATGCAGATTTTCTTTTTCTAATAAGAAATTATAGTGAGGAGTCAGTAATATAATTCGTAAGTGTGTGGTGTAAAATAACGAACAAGTGAGTTTGGTGGAGTAAAAATGAAAAGTAAACACTTTGGTAATTAATTAGACAATTAGTGAAATTGACGAAAGAGCCCTACTTGATGTCTCGAGAATATAAAAGGCTCAAAGGTGAGCGGCCGAAAAAACGAGGAAGTCCTCCTTTATAACAAGAACCTCAACACTCTCACCATTTGAATTCAAAATCCCTTTTTTTTCTTCCGTCTCTCATCGAATTATCCCCAAAAAAAAACACTTTCTTCTTCGTCCTCACCTCACTCCTCTACACAATTTCTCAACCCTAATCATTTATTCAAATCTTGCTCTCCTGGGTTCATTAGCTTGTCTCAAATTTGTCTGTGTGTACCGGTTTCGTTTTCGTTTCTGTGTGGAGTCAATTCGACATCTGGGTTTTTGGAAAAGAGAGATCTTTCTGGTTTGTAAATGGAGGAACAGAGAGGAGTTTCCTCTGCGGTTGTGTCGGAACCTGCATCGAATTCTGGGGTTTGTTGCTTCTTTTGGCTTTCCCGATGACTTTTTGGTTCTTCGTCAAAATTTACTGTTTTTCTTTGTTATTTTTGCGATTTGTTTATGGGTTTGTGTTCTACGTCTCTGGGTTTTTCCCAATTCTGCAGATTTCTGGCGAGAAGCGTAACGGAAATGGATTAGATGAGAAAGATGAATTAGGGTCTAAACGTGTGAAAGTCCCAGATCTAGCTTCTGGTAATTCTTGAGTTTTGTTTAACTTAGAGGTCGATTTCGATTGTTGGAAATGATCTTTATCACTTAATTTTCGGATGATTTGTTAAAAGTTTCCTACGTTTTTTATGGTTATGCTACAGATGCGAAAAACAGTAATCTGCAATCTCATGGAAAAAGTAAAAGTGTTCAGCAACCAAATCTTAGTAGTGAAGAGTTGTCGAAAGAATCTGAAATGCTTGTGGCTCCTGATGCTGAAGGTTTAGGAAGAGTAGTTAGAGACAAGGATGTTTTGGCTAAAGATATAAAACCTTGCACAACTGTTGAGACGAGAACATACTTGCCTAAGGCCAAGTCTATTTCTACAGATGATAATAGATGCGTTGTTAATTCTGGAAAACAGGCTTTGCTTGAGAATCATACTGTAAAAAATGATAGTAGTAACTGTGAGTCACGACCAGGACAGGTTGATGGCGTTTCAAAGAATAGTGGCCTATTGAAACCGAGGGAGACTACTGAATCTGTTGGAAGTCCACGCGGAGCAGCAGAGCCTTCGGTTTCAGTTTCTGTTGGTGAAAAAGTAGGTCCTTTTCAGATGTGTAGTAGTGCAGAGGGCTCATTGGGTGAGTCAGATTCGATGCGGCGATGGAGGGAAATGAAGCGGAATGGTTTTTTATCAGGCCCTTTGGGTGGAGTTGCAGCACCTAGTTCTACAGTAGTGAGTACGCCTGTTGAAGTACCTGCGCAAAAGCAACAAAAGAATAAGCGGAGAAGTGATTCTGTCAAGAAGAGAAATGATGTCCCTAGGAAGGAACAACAGCTGGTAGATAGGTTTGCAAATGTTACCGCGCCAAGTGGATTGCTGACGGAATTAAACCCGGGAATCATTAACCATGTCAGGACTAAGAAACAGGTCTGCTCAATTATCGAAGCTTTGATTCGAAGTGCTAATGATAATGCTAGCGTGGGGGAAAGACGTACCGATTTGAATGTAAGAGGTATCTATCGTTATCATTTACCTAATTAAGATGTCATGTTAGCCAATTCAGACCAGAGACGAGAACTTTCACAATCAATGTTTGATCACTCTGTTTACCCTGGAATTTCAGACTCAATCAGAGAAGATAGGGCATTAGCCTTTAAGTTACCATCCACCGCGGTATCTGATAATGCCTTTTCCATTACAAATCCTGAACAAGCCACATCTCTTGCTGTTGAAGGTCAGTGCCTTTTATCTTGTTTCAGATTGCCTTGAGTAAACTTTTTCTTGGATCTTCTGATTATGTGTCTGAAGTAATAAGTGGTTAAGTCCTATGTGTAAAATGAAGACTTCTGTCAATAAACGGTTTAGGTTTTCTGATTAAAGTAAGTCTAGAAGTGGCAAAAGAATAATTGTTAGGTATTTCCTTTTTTGTGCATAATGATTAATTCATATGCAGAAGTGGAAACGGAAAGAAATGCTTAAAAAGGAAAATGTTTGTTTGCTTTTTAGCTGCTACCGTAGCTTCCCAATGGCTGGAATTTCTTCAACAAGACCTCAGTGGACGACTTTCAGGTGCGCCTTTTACTTACTTGAAGAAATACCACAGAGAGGCTTCTCGTGTTAATTGAGTTTTAGAGATCTGAATGAGATCGTATGCCTTGCAGCTGTGCAGGATAGTAGGAACAGAGTGCAAAATATTTTGACTACCGAGTTACCTCTTCTCGTTTCATCAAGAGAATCTTCTTCTAACCAAGCAAATACTCTTGAGATGGCGACTTCGAATACCTCTGGTGATGCTTCGTCCGATAAAGCAGCAACAGAGACGCATCAGAAAAGGTGGTCTGCAAAATTTGATCAGATAAATAAAGCTCTTTATGATGAACAGAGAGATTTGGTGCGTAAATATCCACTGCCTTTGAGTTAGAATGATTATAGTGACATGGTCTTTTAAGCTCGAGGCGGTGTTTGATGTATTGATACTATGGATTTGAAATTTGCAGGAACGTTCACTAAACCAAGTGAAGGAAATGCAGTCACGATGTAACGAGGGTCTACGACAAATGGAAGAGTACTCGCCTTTTAGTTGCCAATCATCTGATTCAAGGTATAGACCAAGCAGTCCTTAGAATCATAGAAAAAGATTGGTCTAACCGATTTCCTTGTTGTACAATACGCTTGCAGTTTTGGGAAAGCCAGTAATCAGGAGACTAGTATGGCGGTTCAGGCGGCTGCAGCTTCCATTTTTTCGACCTGCGGTTTTCTTCTGTCAATGATGAAGCCGCCGCCTACCGGTTCTTAATCTTGTTATTTTTGGTTTACCGAGTTTGTGACTAATCACACCGCCTATATGTTGTCTTTATGTTAGCACTTTTGATGTTTATTATCTTTAGTGTAAATAACAGGCGATTGATGGGTTTGTCCTTCGTGTATGTAACATTAGAAGCGACCTTTTTTTTATATGAATGCTACAAAGTTGGCATTTGCTTCAATACACATGTCTCTTCAAGATGAGCAAAGTTTCCTTGTATGAATAAAAAACACTGGATTTAATACAGAGAATTGGTGTCTCGTTCCTATACTACATAATCAAACGTAGTATCTATTTTCTCATGAACCAAAAAATTACAGATGCTTCTGATTTCTGCAGCCACAGGGATAAGCTTTCTACGAGTTAGAGCCAAGACGGTGCCATTTCAGCTACTGTTACCTTGGCAGATGAATTGTCTGAAATCTTAGCAAGTGAGCAATGTTGTAACTTAATAGACTCTGCATTGTCCACTGTCTTCACAACGTACCTGGAAATATACATTCATTTTTGTTATTAGAGCTTTAGCATCTATGGATGAAATGAGGCAAAGAGACTTAACCATCCATTTAAGCATTGTGTCATTATAACAGCCTTGCGTCCGACAAACCGAGGAGGTGTTCTTTTGTTTCCCTAAGCCATGGGAACTTTTTGTCAGTTAAAACATAAAAGTAGTAATTTCTAGAATGTAGTTAGTAACATTAGTATGGTTGAAGATCTCAGACCTCTATGATAATATGATCTCCAATGGAGAAAGGAACCTGTATGCCTCGGCTACTCTTTGGAGTTTCAGTGATGTTTGGGATACAGAAACTTCTCTTATGCTGGAAGATTCATAAGAAAGAAACTCTGCTTATCTGGTTTCTCACTGTTAATGTAATAAACTCACATGATAACTATGTATTGAAAAGACAAACCTGATCCGACCTTTCTTTCCTTCGCTTCAGAGTGTGAATATGATCTGATTCTTCTTCTTGGCGGAAAGCATGAACTACAATTCTGAGAGCTGAACAAGCCCATAAACTTGATCAGGAAGAAGAATAGAATCTTTCGCTGAAACTAGTAATGTCGTGAAACTCACAGAGATTTGGCTTTTCTGATCCTTCTAAAGTAGGTTGGGAACATGTGAAACATGCTTTCTAACAACAAATATTACAAAACTCAGATTATAAAGATTCACATGAGACATAAGCAAGAAGATCTTAAACGGAAGAGTCATATACCATTTTTTTAACTTGTATTAATCCCCCCGCACCAAAAGAATGTCCACAAGGCAGTATCGTAGCATCATTCATCAAGGCTCCGCTATCCAAACCAAAGTAACAAATAGAAAAATCATTTCTATGAATGTTAACAAGAACTAGCCTTCTAGACGATACACCACAATAATCAATCATCAAAGTACATTGACATTTGGCTCAGATTCGACTTAGTTATCAAATTCCCTGGGCATTTACAAGCAGAACTAACACTTACGTGACAGGATCAGAGAGGATGGCCTTGAGAGACTCCCAAGAGCTGACACTAGAAGTAGTGACTTTCTCTTTCTCCACAGAAGCAAAATCTCGCTTTGGCTGAGTGTTATGGCGGGAATTAGATACGTTACCATCTGGGTTAGTGATCATCACCTTAAACTCCATTTCATGGCGATCAATCGATGATTTCCCTTCCTCATCATCTTCTCTCACAACCATTTCCCAACCAACTGAACCTGAGTAAAACCAAATAATTTCTAGTTAGCTTTAACAATCAAGGACTTTCGGTAGTCGTAAAAGAAATAATGTAGAGTATTTATACCTGGATTTTTACTTTCTCTGTTGGTTTCTTCAGCTGCAGCTGCAGAATCATAGTTGTTACCGGAATCAATACCAGGCTGAATCAGAGCAGTTCTTCTTCGGATAGAATCGTCGTCCTCGTCATCATCTCCATCGGAATACATGGTTTCATATTTCTCAAGTCTATTTCCACAGAAACCTTGCTGGATTCCAGAAATTCTAAAACGGCGATCGCCGACGGTTTCGAGCTCCCGGCTCTTAGTACCGGAATCTCCAACACGGAAACGCAAAGATTCATCTTCAACGTGGAATAGGAACCGAGGATCGATACTGTCATTAACGGACATTTGCTTTTCCGCCGGAAAATTCAGAAGGCGATCGATAGAGACGGAGGAAGCTGAGATTAAAAAGGTAAGACAGTAAAGAGCACACAGAGAGAGTTTTAAAACGACGTCGTCGTAAGTGGGACATGAGCAGCACGCGCGTCGCCATGGTTAATCATTACGAAACCGTATCATTTACCTAACAACTTTTGGAGGGTCCGGTAACATATTATGTGCCACTTGGACTCATCATAACTCATAAGACATAAGTGATATTGCAACGTAAGCTTATACGTTTTTTTTTTAAATCTGAATTACATTTAACAACAACTAATATCATCTATAACCGGTTTACAATAGAATTTCTTGGGCACTAATCGTTTCCGGTTTAGAACATACAGTACAATGCCATTAAAGATTCTCCATTTTGTTCTACATTAACGAGGGATCAGAATATCAGATAACTCGAAAACCATAACTAAACCGAGTAGGATCACAGTGTTGTAGGTAACCGGTTTAGCTGGACAAATGACCCAAGTTTCGGTTTGATAGGATGTCCTCATTTCACAGTTCACCAGTCTCCTGCTGCTTACTCTCAACTCTAAGGCCTCAAGGGTTTCAGTCCCAGTGACGCTCTCAGTCTATTTGCTTCTGCAATTTCAGGATCTGGATGATCAGTTCCATCTTCCCTCATCTTCTCCTTCTTTTCCTTCTTTTTCTTCGGTTCTTCCCGATCCCGCACATCATCAGTTTCGTGTCTTTTACGATCCCTACTCCTGCTTCTACTTCTGCGCCTTGCCCTGTCTCTTCTGTCTCGTTCTCTATCTCTGCCTCGTTCCCTGTCCCTATCTCGCTCTCTATAGTGATCTCTGTCTCTATCCCTATCCCGGTCTCGACCACGCCCACGTTCTCTTTCATAGTCTCTGTCATAATCTCGATCCATATCATAGTCTCTGTCATAATCACGATCCCTGCCAATCACAAAATCATATTCAAATTATAATTCATGAAACAATGAGCTCCAAACAATCATGAAGACAATCTGTAACAAAAAGAAAACACTGATAGCTAAAAACTAGATGCGAAGAACAGAAAATGCTTTCATGATAGCAAATCTTTTTTGAAGTAACACAATGACCAACTGCCATATATCAGGGTAAGCGACAGTAAGAATGTCTGATCCGTAATACTTCTCCCTGTACACTGTCAGTACAGAGAAACCTGGGAGGATCTCCACAATTTTAATTTCGGAAGCTGTATGCAACCACTGATGGCTTGAGATGCCATAGAGGAAACAGACATTCAAAAGAAAGAATACTAGACATGATGCACGAGCATTAGCTAGGTCAAACAGCTTCCACAATCATAAGCAACAAACAAACTCACAAGGAAGCATTCTTGAAGATGTTAACTAGTATAGAAAAGTATCTAGCAAAGGGAACGGATTCAGATACCTGTGTCTATGACTGTCGCGTCTCCTGTCTCTGTCTCTGTCTCTTTCTCTTTCAGGACTCTTACGTTGATGATCCTGTAAAAGAGGAAGAAGATGGTATCAACATAAAGCTGCTAAATAGAAACAGAAAACAGAACACATACAAACTATTGCAGAATGAAAGCACTGACCTTCTCATCTTCAGATCCATCAGCAATCCCTTCATTCTCCTCCTTTTCTTCTTCTTCTTCAAAGTCGTCTTCCAAAACGCTTTTCCTTGGCTCTAAAAGACCATTCTGTTCAAGCGTCCACCTATCATCACAGAGAAAAAATAACAATATTAAAATACTGCAGAAACTAAAAATCTAAAGTTCAGCTATAGGCTATAGCCAAATGCAGAAGAACAAACCTCTTCTTCAAGCGTGGCATTGCAATATCACAAGAATAATCCTTGGTTAAAAGTTCCTCAATGACTTCGTCCACATGTGTCAACGAAAACCCTATTGCAAACCAAAGAAATAAATTTAGTTAGGGAACAAATCAATCAAAAGTTAAACACAACGGATCCATTGAAAGAAAATGAAACTTACTCCCATCAGCTAACTTTTGTCTCACTTTCCGGTAGTCATTGTAGAGAGGTTCGAGGTAGCGATAGACATCAACATCAGTCCCAGTGAGGCGGAGATAGAAAGCACCAAGAATACGAACATATCTACAGAAACCAAAAGAGTAAATAATTCAATAATCAAACAACCAAAAGCTATCAACTTGATTATCCTAACAAGTATCCAAAGCTAGAGAGACAATCAGATAAAACTTCAAGGAAACCTATAGCTGCAATTAACCCTCAGGTTAGAAATCATACTTGTAATCATCGTTTTTTATGAACTCCACGACAATTTCCTTCTCAGGCTGGATTTGTAGCATCTTCAATATGAGGCAAAGGAACGGAGTAGGCTTGCGGCTACCACCAAAGGTACCACCAAGATGGTCGAGCTCCATAGCTTTGTCAACCAACGTCTCCGCTGTGAGACCAAAGCATTGCTCCTTCCAAAACGTGTGCTGGTAAATCTTCGTTCTCACAATCTTCTCTACCAGATTCTGCGGATTCGTACCTCTGATATTTTTGGCCAACGGATCTGTTCTGTTTGCCATTATCGCCGGAAGTTAATCAGAAACCGCCTCGAAGACGTAGTCGTCGGAATAACAAGCGTCTGGTGACGCCGTTTCAGTGAAGCCGGAATCGATGAAACTGCTTCCACGAATTTGGCGTCGTAGAAGACGATCTAGGGCTTTGAAGAATCTGAGAAGTTAATTCGTTTTTATTTAATTTTATTAATTATTGTTTTCGGTGGTAAAGCCCATAGTAAGAAAATATTAATGGGCTAATAATATTTCTCGGCCCATTAAATATGGAGATAACGCCGTTAGTTGTAAGTCCGTTAAGACCGTTATATCAAGCATAAACCCTATCGAAGGAATTGCAGTGTGTTCTTATCAGCGAATAGCCCCAAAGAGAAGAACAAAAATTTCGAAAATAGAGGAAGAGAAGAAGTTGACGATGGATTCAAAGACGAAGCAGATGATTCTATCAGCTCTCTGTAAACACTTCTCCTTGGATCCTGTAAGTGAAGATGTCAATCTCAGAAGCTTCACCTTTTTCTTCTGGATTTTTTTTTTTTTTTTTTTGAGGTTTTACTTGGTAGCTGAGTGTATGTATGATCATGTTTTGGATTACTTCGGGAAAATTCGAAAATTTGGTACTTGGGTGCTGATTGAGTTATAAAGATCGTATTCTATATTATGTTAATCAATGTTTACACTTGTGCATCAAGCTGGTTATGAAAAAGGAAGAAACTTTAGAAATTAGGCGTTTATAATCTTCTTGAATTGGGTTTGCATGGCATTTCATTGTACACTGTGTTGATCATTTTTAATTCTCATCCAGAATTTACACCAATCCCTTATGTTTTTCTTCTAGATAGACAGGATGATTTATGGTTTTGTTTCTGAAATTAATTTTGATTCATTTGCTTAGGAACCTTTTGTGGGCGGAGCAGGTGATAGTGATGTCAAGAAACTTTATTCCAATGTTGTGAAGGCATCTGGAAAGGAAGTGTCTGCACAAAACGATGAGGTAAGTTGTTTCTTCTTGAACTTGGTTCTTATAGACATGAACGTCAAAACTCTAAATGGAAGTTTATTGAGTTCCCTTCTCGTTGCTACCATATTTGAGATAGTTGAATTAGTATGTTTGAGTTCTGTGTGGTGTTGAATGATGAGTATTCGTTGGCTTTCGTTTGCATAACGTGTCATTGTTTCACATTCTAGAAAGGAATTACCTATTTCAGGTTTTGAAGTGGCTGGATTTTGCGGAAGGTTTCTCTGCAAATTCAAAGGATTGCTTTGCAGCTCTTGAAAAGTTGAATTTAGAGTTAGCTACCAAGTCAGTGCTCTTGGGAAACGGATTGTCGCCATCGGCAGCTGATGTTGCTGTGTTTTCAGCATTGCATTCTTCAGTGGTACCACTTTTCTTAATTCCCTAGTCTACTTATTTTTCGTTCCTGTATAAGTAATTTTATGTTTCTTGTTAAAGATGCTAAGATAAAATTTTCATAAACTGTTGACTTAAGGCGAACCTTAAAGACTAACTGTTATCTGTTTTACTTGCTGCTCCCAGCTTGGCCTCTCAGATTCAGACAAGGAGAAAGTACCACATGTCATAAGATGGGTGAATTATATCCAGGTAGGTTCAAGTTCAACATCATAAAATTCCCATAACTTGATTGTACCAATGCTATCATTTTTCTTTCCTTGTGATTTTCTGCTGTACTAATAAATGCTGCTTATTATTTTTACAGAAAAAAGAACAGTTGTCAACATTATTTGCACCAATACCTGTGAAGCTACCAGAATTTGACTTCGAGGTGACTTATCATACCCACTTTCTTTTCATACTACATTTTTCATATGTATTACACAGTATCCCTCTCCTTTCACATGCGATGAGCAAATGGTTTTCTGATGTTTTTCCTTTATTCTAAACGCAGGTATCAAAGCCTGCCATTAAGGTGGACGCAAATTCCAACACGAAAAAAGCTGCAGAAGTTGTAAAGCCTGTTGACAAGTCAGAAGCACAGCCGAGCGCAAAGAAAACTGAGCCCGAGGTACTGATTTTAACTTTTAAGTTGGATTTATTCGACTGTGGGTCTCTTTATACTGTAGAATCTGATGTTAACTCCCTTTTTTTGTGTAGGAACCAAAGAAAAAGGACACAAAAGAAAAGGATGCCAAAAAGGAAAAGAAGAAACCTGCTGAAACAGAACCAGCTAAGAAAGAGGCAGAGCTTAGTGTCAGTTTGCTTAATATTCAGGTTGGTCTAATTCGCAAAGCATGGAAGCACCCATCTGCGGATAGGTTTGTGGTCAAAACATTTCAATCTTATGGCTCTGTTAAAGATTTCACTGAACATCTGCTAATATGTATAAAAAAAAACTTGTCGTATCTATTGACAATGCAGTTTGCTGGTGGAAGAAATAGATGTCGGGGAGGATAAAGTGAGGCAAGTAGTTAGTGGCTTAGCGAAGTTCTGCAATCCCGATGATCTAACGGTATAGTGATGTCGTAATTTAAATATAAATAAAAGAAATTTTATTTGTAGACGTATAAATTTGGTTTATCAATCTATAGATTTGGTTTAAAGTTACTTATCAATGGTTTCTTGATTACTGCATTATGATGATGAAGAACCGCCTTGTTGCGCTTATCACAAATGTCAAACCTGGAAAGCTAAGAGATGTAATGTCACAAGGACTGGTAATACTTTCTTCTATCTGCCTCAATCCAGCTCATCAACTATCAAAATATTGCACACTCTCACATTTGCTCTTGTTCTGTGTTTTTGATTTCTTTGCCACAGGTTCTTTGTGCTTCAAGTGAAGATCACTCGGTGGTAGAGCCGTTGCTACCACCTGCTGGGGCTAAACCAGGAGAGCGTGTTTCATTTTCAGGGTATATAATTTTAACGATATAACATCGAACCTCTTTGATTTGCTTTCTTTACATGTTTCCCCTTCAGCCATCAAACTCATCTATGCTCTTTTCTTTTAATTGTTTTTCTTGTTTATCGCAAACTCAAGAACCCTTTTTTCGAAATGTTTATCTAGGATTGAAGGAAAGCCAGAAGATGTACTGAACCCAAAAAAGAAGCAACTAGAGAAGATAACACCGGTATGTGTTTTTTGCCCTTCATTAGGTTCCAAACTTAAACAACCGAATATGCGAGTACTGTGTTTGACATAAACATTCAATCTCACGGGGACTTCGGCTAATCACACGCATTTGCAGGGTCTCTACACTGATGAAAATGGCGTAGCCACATACAAAGGCATACCATTCATGACCTCGGCTGGACCTTGCACTTCCAGTATCCCCAAGGCTACCATCAAGTAGTAAACTCAGTTGATACCTCTCCTCTTCTCTAGCGTTTTTCTTTGATATTCACAAACTCAGTTAGAAAAGAAAAGATGTTCTTTTTGTCACAATTCGAATTAATCTATAACTTTGTTCTTATAAGCTTTTTGACAAACAACGTTGTTTCAATCTCCGATAGCTCTCTGCTAAACTAGATTTTGGCTTTACTCAGTTCCAATTTCTTTGTCCTTTGGATCAAGTAGTGCAAGTCCACCATTGCATGGTTTGCAACGCTACAAATATCCACTTAGCTACTTGTGGGGCTTCAATCAGATAAACCAAACCAGTCACTCTGGATTGTGATTCTTAGATGATGCTTACAAGGAAGGAGGATAAAGAATCTTAGACATGGCCCATGAGGATCTCTATAAGAGAGATTGGTGGTCCATTTGTGACAAAAATCATTATTAATTTTTCCTGTTTCCATTTATTCCAAGGATTTGAACCCAAAAAAAAATTGGGAAATAAAATAACTAAAAAGGTGTATTATATCTAAAGATTTATCTTATCAGCTTACAAGATCCTGAGCAGATCCGTACGACTGTCACTGGACACATATGTTTCTTTATTCAGCTTCTCAAAGAATCAGTCCTCCATAGCAAAAACACAACTTCTTTCTTATATTAAACACACACAAAATCTTTTTACTTGTCTCCAAAAAAATTATGATCTTTTTTGAGGTTCTTTAGCTTTTATTATACGATTCCAAATCATATCAAATCAGTTCTTGGTATATTATAGGAGATAGTTACCGAATAAATCTGTTTTCATATCAAATTTTCAGTTCTATGAATCTACAATTTTGTATAGCACTATCAATTTTTAATTAAATAAAAGTGGTCCAAAAGAAAAGTAAAAAATAAACCCCACACGATTCGAAGAACATGTCCTAACAAGTAACTCAATACAAAAAGACAAGTATAAGGAACTTTAAATCTATAACGACTGGTACTGAAACTTAAACCCCTAAAAATAAGATATCACGAAATATCCGTGATATTCTTTGATGCAATCTCTTTCCCATTGCTCTCTGTCTTTTTAATTTCTTTTTAAAGTATTCTGCGGAATTATATATAGTTGGTAAATAATAATGGAAAATTCTTCACCCACCAGAAAAATCAAAGAAACCATCATAAATACCATCACCAGATTCACATGATTCATACATACACACTTCTGAGTCTGTCACTTTCTTCTTCATTGTATATGTTTTGTCTTTTTGAATTTTATTTTTTATTGAAGAATGGAGAATTAAAAGCAATGTCTGCAAGGTCTTTGTATTAATGCTAGAGTCAGTCTCGCTTCTTCTTTGCTTATTGTCAAGTTGTTTTCTTTCTCAGTTACTTGACATTTAAGGAACAAATTAAGGAGATCATGAACAGTTCAGGAGGTTCTTGTTCGTCTTTAATGGATGTGGTGGCTTATGATCATCATCATGGTCATGGTCATGATGAAGAGCTTCATGTTTTAGCAGTAGATGATAATCTTATTGACCGTAAACTCGTTGAGAGGTTGCTCAAGATCTCTTCTTGCAAAGGTTCCATCATTTCACCTTCCATTTTTTTTTTATAATCAATCATTACTTTTTGCATTCTTTGTTTCTAAAATGTGAATTTTTCAGTCACAACAGCAGAGAATGCGATTAGAGCATTGGAGTATTTGGGTTTGGGAGATCAAAATCAGCATATTGATGCATTGACCTGTAACGTAAGCAAAAAATCATATATATCTTCAAGATCTATGGATTTTTTTTCCTTAGGACACATTTGATATTAGGTCTATATATGTGTGGATTTTCTAGGTAATGAAGGTTAACCTAATCATCACAGATTACTGTATGCCGGGAATGACAGGTTTTGAGCTGCTCAAGAAAGTGAAGGTATATATATAACAGCTTATTGGAATCAAGATCCAGAGATTTAACCAGTTTAATTCAACCTAAAAAAAACTGTGTGTGTTTCTTTAGCAGGAGTCATCAAATCTGAGAGAGGTTCCTGTTGTGATAATGTCTTCAGAGAATATTCCTACTCGCATCAACAAGTAAGAACAAACTGAGATCTGATTAAGACCTTGTTTCTGTGTTTCTTACAGTGGAAGTTATTAGTTAGGATCATCAATCTTAATGTTCTGTTTTTTGGTCTTTAAAAACGCAGATGCTTAGCGAGTGGAGCTCAAATGTTTATGCAGAAGCCTTTGAAACTTGCTGATGTTGAGAAACTTAAATGTCATCTCATGAACTGCAGAAGCTAACCATGAGAGATTTAATAATGTTAGTCCTAACCATGAATCATTTCCATTGTCTTGATTCCTTATTTGATTATTTTACATGTTCTTTTTTGAAATCAAGAAATGTTTTCAAATTCCCTATAGCAATCTTTATACACAAATACACAAAAAGGAATCATAGAAAATGGTTGTGGTGATGAAGATGATGACGATGTCTTCTCTCTTCCAATCCTAAACATCGAATAAATGGATAACATGAGATGAAGAAACATCTCTTTAATCCTCTCACCATTGAAAATGGAGGCCACACGCAACAACAACAACATTGATGATTCTCTTCTATCGTGGTTTCTTTCTCTTTTCTTCTTCCTCTTCTCTTATCTCTTTTGCGGCCATTGTTGCACAAGATTGACATCGTTTCTGCGTGAAAAGAAGAATAAGAATCTTGTGCAGCAAGAAAAGTCTAGAATTTCAATTTGACAACAAGAACAAAAAGCAAAGGATCCTAATTGAATCACGATGAGACGATTCATATAAGAACAATCTTTTTTTCATCTCTTACCTCGGAAAATTCACCGGAATCTTATGAATGGCCTTGAAAATCTTTGACAAGGAAGAAGATTAATGGTGAGAGAAGATGATGAATCTCTTTCTTCTCCGAGAAAGAGAGAGATAGGAGTCGAAAGTCGAAACGCAGAGGAGAAATTGTCTCCTCCGGAGACTTGTACGTCTCCATGGAAGCTTTCAACATCATAACACGTGTCATTTCATTTGTCTCATGACTTTAGATCGGACCAAACCTACCAAGTTTTTTTTTTTTAATGTTTTTTGTTTTGTTTATTGTGCATGATGTTATTATTTTTCTTTCTTTTTCTGATTTGTGTATGTACCGCACGATTTCTAGTAGTACATGATTTGTTTTTTGACTGAAACAAACCATGCGATTATTTATTCTACGTAGATACGTTATCTAATTTCAAATCAAATTTTCTGTCAATTCTGTCCAAAAGAGGTGGGAATTAGCGGAGCTGATTGTGCTTGATACGTATCCAATTTGGATAATGAATCTTAGAATTCAATGTTCACCAAAATCTGACCTTTCTTAACTTGTTTTGAAATTTTGAATTTGAGTCTGATGGTAGTGTGAGGGTGTTTAATTTTAAATAAAATAAACTGATCTAATTTGAACCAAACAATTCTTATCTACAAACCGAATAACCTATAATTTGAACCTAATTTTTAAGTATATCTATCTATAAATAATGAATTTGCACGAAAAATTAAACCAAATATTTATGTGAGTTGAATTTGAATGGTGACAAACGACGATACGATATTTTAATGGTGACACAACGACGACACTAACACAAATCACTAAACTATTAAATAAAATTATTTTTTCTTGAGAACTAAACATATATCTGACTAAAATTGAAATAAAATGTGAAATTAAAACATATAAATTCATACATAAATGATTGGTTCTACTACACTGAAACCGAAAACCCAAAAATCCAAAAAACACCAAGAAACAACACAGCTCCCTATCTAGTAGTTGTTTATCAACAACCATTAAAACGACCGAGGGGAGAGCGTTTTATGCTACGGCCCAAGTGAGATAAAAGCCCAACTTAATATTGTTACGGGCCAAGAATAACTGCAAAAGACGAAAAAGATTCTGTTCACTCTCTCTCTCTCGCTCGCTCGCTCTCAATCTTTCCGATTTGGTTGGGTCTTCTCCAAGTCTCTGCGAAAATGGCGGCTTCGGTGCAACCTGCATGCTTAGACCTCCATTTCTCCGGAAAGCATCCTCCGCTTCTTAAACACAACGCTATTTTCGTCCGCTGTGTTTCTTCTCCAAATGTAATTCCCGAAGCTGACTCCATCTCTGGTCCGCCTGATATCATCAATACGAGCCGTGACCAGCGCAAAGTGGTTCGTATCGCTTGGGAGAAGTTGGTTCGATGGTCTCGTTCTTGGCGCGCTAAAGCTAAAACCGATGTTCTTGAGCGCACTCGCAAGGTTTTATTATCTTCACTTTCTTTCTTAATTTCGTTTGCGTTTTGGAGAATTTGAAAGAATCTGAGGGGTTTTTAGGTTGTTGTTCTTGGTGGAGGTTCGTTTGGTACTGCAATGGCTGCTCATGTAGCTAGAAGGAAAGAGGGATTAGAGGTTAATATGCTTGTTCGTGACTCTTTTGTTTGCCAATCTATCAACGAGAACCATCATAATTGGTACTTTTTAGCATTTGATTTTATCCAAACACAATTCATAATTCTTGAGGACTTCACAGTGATAATGTGGATTTTGTTACCAGTAAGTACTTTCCTGAGCACAAGTTACCTGAGAATGTGATTGCTACTACTGATGCGAAAGCTGCATTGCTTGATGCTGATTATTGCCTCCATGCCGTACCTGTGCAGGTTTAACCACATTGAGTATTTGTTTTTGGTTTTGATTGATTTGTTTCTATATACTGCTGATTAATGTGGGGTTGTTGTTGCAGTTCAGCTCTTCGTTTCTAGAGGGAATTGCCAATTATGTCGATCCAGGATTGCCTTTTATATCTCTTAGCAAAGGTCTGGAGCTTAATACTCTTAGGATGATGTCTCAGATTATTCCTACTGCGCTTAAGAATCCTCGGCAACCTTTTGTTGCTCTTTCTGGCCCGTCATTTGCTCTGGAGCTGATGAACAATTTACCAACTGGTTTGACTCTCGTTCTTCTTTGTTTAATTCGAATAGCATTATTTAGTTTTCTATTGCTGAATGCTGTAAACTGTTTCCTTTTGGTATATTATTTTGCTTGCAGCAATGGTGGTTGCCTCAAAAGATAAGAAATTGGCCAATGCTGTTCAGCAGCTTCTGGCTTCTAGTTACTTGAGAATAAATACTTCCAGGTACAACATTTCAAAACCAGACTCCATTGGTTTAAATGATTTGTGGATGCATTTTACTGCTGGGCTGTGATTATATCCATTTGCCTAGCTGCTTGAGAGTTTATTCATGTCTTGGTATGTTCTGTGTTAGTGACTGAGCTCTAATGGTTGACTTCTTAATTCCTCGAGGGAGTTTTGTGCACTCAGCTTGTAACCTCTGATCATTTCAGTGATGTTACAGGCGTGGAAATTGCCGGTGCCCTGAAGAATGTTCTAGCAATAGCTGCAGGAATTGTTGATGGAATGAATCTCGGTAACAACTCTATGGCAGCACTTGTATCACAAGGTTGTTCAGAGATAAGATGGTTAGCCACAAAGGTAGTAAGTTTAATGTGTGTCTATAATGGCTTCATAGAAAGTGGTTTTTATCCAAGAAACTCACCACTATGATTAGTAAATCCTGTGTTTATTGCATTTTCTGCGTTTTTCTGTCTTGTATGTGTGAAGATGGGTGCAAAGCCAACTACCATAACCGGTTTATCAGGAACTGGGGACATAATGCTTACGTGTTTTGTAAATCTTTCAAGAAACCGAACAGTTGGAGTCAGGTTAGGGTCAGGGGAGACATTAGATGACATACTAACCTCCATGAATCAGGTGTGTATCTCGCTGGTGTTGCGTTTCTTATGGTAGAACCAAAAAGATTGGTTGAATATAAAAACCCATGAATCAAATAACAATTGCTTCTCAGGTTGCAGAAGGTGTAGCAACCGCTGGGGCAGTGATAGCATTAGCACAGAAATACAATGTGAAACTGCCGGTTTTGACAGCCGTAGCTAAGATAATAGATAATGAACTGACCCCGACTAAGGCTGTTCTTGAGCTCATGAACCTTCCTCAGGTTGATTCTAGGTTTCACAGATTCCCATTTCGACTCGGCTACTCTTCTGGTTTTTGATTTGACTCTGTTTTCACAGATTGAAGAAGTATGAGATGGAACAATCGTTTTGAGGACCACATTTCCAAAGAGATGGCTTTAAGGCGGCGAGAGCTTTGCATTCGTTTAGAGATAGCTAATGATAGAGATGATTCGAAGTGAGTTTTGTAATCGATTTTAGGCCTGATTCTCATGAATGTGAATTGTTCATAAACATTTTACAAAATCTCTGTAAAGTTTTCTCATCATCTATAAAAATGATGTTTCAGTATATATCTTGTTAAGTGTGGAGTGTGGGAATTTGGAGTGTGATTCGTATGATCTTCGGACTTTCGGAGCCATGGGTTTAAGTAGGGGTGTTTCAATTCGGGTACATCAAACCGATTTAATCCAAACTTAACCGTAAATAGCCGATTTCGATGAAAATCCACGGATCCTAAAACAGTGAGCATGGGCTTTGAAGTTGAGAGGCCCACAATTTTTAAGGCCCAAATATGTCGTATAGGAGGCAAAACCCTTGCAATTGCAGTGTCGTCGTTGAGTTGGCGAAGACGGAGGGAAAGAAACAGAACTTGTTTGTTTCGTCTAAGAAGAAGATGATGAAGAGAACCCAACAATCTGCAAGAGAAACAAAGCAAGAAGCTAAAGATGCAAGCAAAGCAAAGAGCGGTTTATTCGCTTCTTGTTCCTTCTCTTCCCTTGGTTTAGATCCCAAGCTCTCTGACCAGCTCCAAGGTTCTCTTTTTACCTCTGCCGATATTGACATCCTCTGTTTATGTTTAGTGAACTTAATTTTCAAGTATTAATTTTTGTTTTTCGTGTCAATTTATATAGAAAGGATGGGTTTTGAAGCTCCTACGCTTGTACAAGCTCAAGCAATTCCTGTTATTCTCTCTGGTCGAGATGTGTATCCTTTTTCTACAAAACTCTAATCTTCTTTTTGTGTGAATTATGATTACATTTGTAGTTTGGTTTGTTTTCGTTAACTTGGGATGTATAAATGTATAGACTTGTTAATGCTGCAACCGGTACTGGAAAGACTATAGCGTATTTGGCACCACTCATCCATCACTTGCAGGGTTATTCTCCTAAGGTTGATCGTTCTCATGGAACTTTTGGTATGTGCCTATTATCTAGCTACAGTTTGGAATTTGTTGGGAGGTGAAGTGATGATTTTGATTCTTGAACTTTGTATGTGGCAGCTTTGGTGATTGTGCCTACACGGGAACTATGCCTTCAGGTGTATGAAACCTTGGAGAAGTTGCTGCATCGGTTCCATTGGATTGTCCCTGGCTATGTAATGGGAGGGGAGAAAAAGGCTAAAGAAAAGGCTAGGTTAAGGAAAGGTACCATATTTTTTCCCTTTTCCATAGTCAGTTCCTTATGTGAGAAGGGCGATGGTCACTTTTGAATCCAGACTAATCGTTTTATTTCAGGGATATCCATTCTAATTGCAACCCCGGGACGCCTTCTTGACCATTTGAAGAACACAGCTTCATTCGTGCACAAAAATCTGCGTTGGGTCATCTTTGATGAAGCTGATAGGTATAAATGCTGTACCCTGAAAGTTAATATCTTCCTTGATCCTGTGCTTCCTTTATATAATTCTTCCTTTGAATTATGCAGCATTCTCGAATTAGGTTATAGTTAATATCTTCCTTGATCCTGTGCTTCCTTTATATAATTCTTCCTTTGAATTATGCAGCATTCTCGAATTAGGTTATGGGAAGGAGATAGAACAGATAATTAAGCTTCTAGGTTCAGGGCAAAACGAGCATGGAGAAGAAGATGATATTGTTCCAAAGGGCATTCAGAAGCAGAACTTATTATTGTCAGCAACATTGAATGAAAAAGTTAACGATCTTGCAAAACTTAGTCTGGACAATCCAGTAATGATTGGTCTTGACAACAGCAAATTGCAACAAAATCTATCAATAGAGTCTCCTGCCTCTCCTGACTCTGATGCGGATGATATGGTAATTCATGTTAATAAATCCGTACACCCTTCATCTGAGGACTATGGAATACCATCACAGCTAGTGCAGAAATATGTTAGAGGTACATTTAACTTCACTCAAATCTCTTTATATTGTTCTGTGCTTCTAGTTTGATACAAATATCTATCATACACAGTGCCATGTGGTGCACGGCTTGTGGCACTTCTTTCTGTTCTCAAGAACCTTTTTGAAAGAGAAGCTTCTCAAAAGGTAAATCTCAAGCCAGCCATATCCAAAGTTCCTGTCATATCTGTTGGTTTTTAAACTCTCGTTTGATTGAGGTTTTGTGCGGTTGTTTTCTTACAGGTGGTCGTATTCTTTTCGACACGTGATGCTGTAGATTTTCATTACTCACTTCTGAGTGAATTCCAGTGGCCACCAAATTCTGAGACAGAAGAGGAGGGGACTAAACAGTTGTTTCTTAAGTGCAAAACGTTCCGGTTACACGGGAGTATGGAGCAGGAGGATAGAAGATCTGCGTTTGGGACTTTTAAAACAGAGAAACAGGCTCTTCTCTTGAGTACAGATGTTGCTGCTAGAGGCCTGGATTTCCCAAAAGTAAGATGTATTATACAATATGACTGTCCCGGGGAAGCTACCGAGTATGTTCATAGGTAAATTCTGGAATCCCAAAAAAGCACTTGACATGTCTAACTTAAATACAAATACCTTGAATTTACTGAGCTTATGCGTTTGTGATTCATGGTTGCAGAGTGGGTCGAACAGCTCGTATTGGTGAAAAAGGAGAAGCCTTGTTATTTCTACAACCGATTGAAATAGACTATCTTAAGGAGCTTAAGAAACATGGCGCATCACTTACAGAGTACCCTCTTCTAAAAGTACTTGATAAATTTCCCATACCCGGCAATATGCCCCGAATCAAAAAGGTCATATCCCTAGAATCGCATCCATGGGTCATATCTCTGCAAAGAGCTCTTGAATCCTTTAATTACGTTGAGGTACGATTCTCTTCATTGTGTTCCCTCTGATTGATTTATACTCTGATAGTCTAAATGTCTCATTGTTTCTATCTGTTTTATTCACAGCCAAAGATGAAGAGCCTGGCGAAAAATGCATTTGTCTCTTGGGTTAGGGGATATGCAGCTCACAAGGGAGAGCTCAAGAGCATTTTCGTGGTGAAGAAGCTTCACTTAGGTCATGTCGCCAAGAGTTTTGCTCTGAGAGAGCAACCGTCTTTAGTTGGGAAATCACATCATAAGGAAACAATGAAGAGAAAGAGAGACGAACGTCAAAAAGGGCAACAAGGTAAGAAGAGAAAGAAGGTGAGTGGCAGTGGCAATAGAAGTACACAAAAAACTTGATCAAATCGGTTTCGCCACCATAAACCATGGCATAAGTTTTGTAGTGAATGAGCTGCTTTGTTCATTGAAAATTTTGAAATATCTGAAAGAAGTTTGGAACTTAATCATGTTTGTTAACAATATTACTTGTATTAGCCAGTAAGCTAAAGAGATTCACAACAAATGCTTACCAGAGGTCTCGCGGAAGTCAAAATTGATTTTTTTTTTTTGGTGAAACTTTCTTTAGGAAATTTCTAACATTTTTTCAATATTGTGGATAACAAAAACACTGTTTTCATTAAATGTTTTTCTATGAAAATTGGTAGAAACTATGAAAATCTAGATTTGCTATATTTTTTTGGAAAATTATTTGTGTAAAATCTTGCACATTATTGAAGAATCTACAAACAATCAAGGCTTTAATATTTTTGGCCAAATAAGGAGATGTTAATGAGAAAGAGTAAGACTCAGGTTTTCTTTTTTGTTTATTAATTAACAAGCTCTTTCATACTAAACCCTAAGAAAATGATTGTCATCAGTTGTTAAATGAAGATAGCGGAGGAAGGCCGAGACTGTGACGGTGCCACTGCCACCGCCGATGAAAGAAGCTCTAGCCATGGCTGTTGCAAAATCAAAGAGCCAGGAGATTCGAGCGAGGGTGTAGACTCAATCAGCTTTCTGCCTGATGTGATCCTCCAAGTTATCCTCTCCTTAATTCCGACCAGATACGCCATCAGGACTTCCGTCTTGTCCAGACGATGGAGGCATGTATGGTCCTATATACCTTCTCTCCATTTCCGTAAGGACAGACCGGATGCTAATTCGATAAACGAAACCCTAGCTCGCTACAAGGCTCCGAAGATGATTAGTTTCCGTATCTGTACCAGTGACCTCGATAATCTTCCTAACATGGACAGTTGGATCAAGTTAGCTTTGTCCAGAAACGTGGAGAATCTGTCGCTGTATTTGGAGCGGAGTGACTATAATATCCCTGAATTCCTCTACGTCAATTCCTCTGTCAAGAATCTCTGCATTGAGTCAATCTATTCTAATATAATAATACCCAAATGCTCTGTGTCTTGGACATCCCTGAAGAAACTGTCCTTGTGGTGTTGCAAGCTCTCTGATGAATCCATTGCTAAGATCCTATTTGGTTGTCAAATTCTCGAAAGCTTAACGTTGTGTTTCTGCGAGGAACTGAAGGTGCTTGATCTCAGCAAATCACCGCGTCTGAAAACATTAGTAATTTATAACGACAGTGTGAATCCGGGGCCAACGAAGATTGTGGCACCACATATCCATTGTCTCAGATTGAGAAACACTCAGTTACCATGTGATTTATTAGTTGATGTCTCATCTTTAACCGAAGCTAAACTAGACATTAGCTATAACTCCTACCGTGAAAAACTGAACGCTGATTTACTTCACATCTTGGTGCTAGAGAGGCTAGACAAGTGTCAGAATGTAGAGAAGCTTACTTTGGGGGAAAGCTTTCTCGAGGTATGTTTTCGGGTGTTCAAGTGTTAGTGATATATATACGGATGGTCATTATTGAATATGCATGCTACTTACTTTACCAATGTAAAATCAGTTGGTTGCAGAATTGTCTCTGATTTTTTCTTCTTAGAGATATGTATTTTGGTATTCACTAGCTACTACTATTTGTTTGTGCTTTTTCTTAGATTTTATCTCTAGCCGAGCTCCGTGGTGTTCCTTTTCCAAAATTCAAGGCTAGAGCTTTAACGCTTGAGACCCCGATCTCTCACTATGTAATTCCTGGTATAGTAAGGGTGCTACAAAACTCTCCTGAATTAAAGAAGCTAACCCTAAAATACAGAAGGAGTGATGGCTTCATACCGGTATATTTATTTGCCGTAGACCTCTTTTCGTTTCATTCACCATTCTAACTATTGCCAATCTTGAATAATCCAAGAACCACATGTCTTTCACTTGAGTTTGTAGAATTTGAGATAGTGTTAATGACATTATTTTCTGCTGTACAGGGCGTCTATATTGACGAAAACCTGCGTTCTCATGGCTTGGATACGGATAAATGCTGGAGCTCGGAAGCTAGAGTCTTCAAAGACATTTGCCCCTTGAGAGCATACTCTTTGTTTCTACAACTTGTGCTTAAAACCACAGAGACATTAGAGAAGATGGTCGTAATGTTAGAACCTTATTTTATAGCAAAAGGTGTTATGAAAGAGTTGCTTGAGATGGTTCCACTGCTTACTCGCAACATCAATGTCTCCATTGTGAAAACCTGATGCCTAAACTTATCTTTGATTTGTTAGAAACTTGATCAAATCTGAGTGATCTCGCATTTTTGTTACTCAAAAAGTTCGAAACTTTAACACTTGTTTTGTTAAAGAATATTACTTGTATAATAAACCAAGACAGGTAAAGAGATTCACAACAAATGCTTACCAGCAAAATCTAAGCCAAGTCTTGAAATCAATATCGTTTTTTGCGGTGACGATGCAGATATGCGTTTCAAGCTTCACGACGTTGACATTCGTCGGGGCCTTTCTTGTTTAGCTGATTCTTACATTTCTCCGGCATCGGTAAATTCAGGAATCAGAGCTCTAATTCAGAAAGGAGAGTATTTACAAGCTCTGCATTTATACACTAAGCATGATGGTTCTTCTCCTTTGTGGACTTCCGTTTTCACATATCCTTCTCTTCTTAAAGCTTGCTCTTCTCTTACTAATCTCAGCTATGGAAAAACCATTCATGGTTCGATCATCGTGTTGGGTTGGCGATATGATCCTTTCATTGCAACCTCGCTTGTCAATATGTATGTAAAATGTGGTTTTTTAGATTATGCCGTCCAAGTGTTCGACGGTTGGTCTCAGAGTGGAGTTTCTGCGCGGGATGTTACTGTTTGGAACTCTATGATTGATGGGTACTTCAAATTTCGAAGATTTAAGGAAGGGGTTGGTTGTTTTCGTCGGATGCTGGTGTTGGGTGTTAGACCTGATGCTTTCTCGTTATCCATTGTTGTAAGTGTTTTGTGTAAAGAAGGAAAGTTTAGGCGGGAAGAGGGGAAACAGATTCATGGGTATATGTTAAGGAATTCGTTAGATGGTGATTCTTTCTTGAAAACTGCTTTGATTGATATGTATTTCAAGTTTGGTTTATCGACAGATGCGTGGAGAGTTTTTCTGGAGATTGAGGATAAATCGAATGTTGTACTATGGAATGTGATGATTGTTGGGTTTGGTGGTAGTGGGATCTGTGAATCTAGCTTGGAGTTGTATATGCTTGCAAAGAGTAACAGTGTCAAGCTTGTTTCCACTTCATTTACTGGAGCTCTTGGTGCGTGTAGTCGAAGTGAGAATTCTGGTTTCGGTAGGCAGATCCATTGCGACGTTGTGAAGATGGGACTTGACAATGACCCTTATGTTTCTACTTCTCTACTGTCAATATATTCAAAATGCGGTATGGTTGGTGAGGCAGAAACTGTATTCAGTTGCGTTGTGGATAAAAGACTTGAGATATGGAATGCTATGGTTGCTGCTCACGCAGAGAATGATAATTGGTACTCTGCTTTGGAATTGTTTGGTTTCATGAGACAGAAAAGTGTCTTGCCTGATTCTTTTACCTTGTCGAATGTTATATCCTGTTGCAGCATGTTTGGATTGTATGACTATGGCAAATCAGTCCACGCGGAACTGTTTAAGAGACCGATACAAAGTACGCCTACAATAGAGAGTGCTTTACTCACTCTGTACTCCAAATGTGGATGTGATACTGACGCTTACTTAGTCTTCAAATCAATGGAAGAAAAAGATATGGTTGCGTGGGGCTCCCTGATCTCAGGACTTTGCAAGAATGGGAAATTCAAAGAGGCATTGAAAGTTTTTGGGGACATGAAAGATGATGATGATAGATTGAAACCTGATTCTGATATTATGACGAGTGTTATAAACGCATGCGCCGGATTAGAGGCTCTCAGTTTTGGCCTTCAGGTTCATGGCAGCATGATTAAAACTGGGCTAGTGCTTAATGTTTTTGTTGGCAGCTCCCTTATTGATCTGTATTCTAAGTGCGGCTTACCAGAAATGGCTCTCAAAGTTTTCACTAGCATGCGACCGGAAAACATTGTTGCCTGGAATTCAATGGTATCTTGCTACAGCCGAAACAACCTTCCAGAACTGTCGGTAGAACTTTTCAATCTGATGCTCAATCAAGGTATCTTCCCAGATTCAGTATCCATCACAAGTGTCCTTGTAGCAATCTCATCGACTGCAAGCTTGCTAAAAGGGAAAAGTTTACATGGTTATACATTAAGACTCGGCATTCCTTCGGATACTCACCTGAAAAACGCTTTGATTGATATGTATGTTAAGTGCGGGTTTTCGAAATATGCAGAGAATATCTTCAAGAAAATGCAGCATAAGAGCATGATCACTTGGAACTTAATGATATATGGTTATGGATCCCATGGAGATTGTATTACAGCATTGAGTCTGTTTGATGAGATGAAAAAAGCAGGAGAATCGCCTGATGATGTAACATTCCTGTCTCTGATTTCAGCCTGCAATCATTCCGGTTTTGTGCAGGAAGGTAAAAACATTTTTGAGAGCATGAAACAAGACTATGGAATCGAACCAAAAATGGAGCATTATGCAAATATGGTGGATCTTCTAGGACGAGCAGGTCGCCTCGAAGAAGCTTACAGTTTTATAAAATCAATGCCTATTGAAGCAGACAGTAGCATATGGCTCTGCCTCTTATCTGCCTCAAGAACTCATCATAATGTAGAACTTGGGATATTGTCTGCTGAGAAGTTGTTGAGAATGGAACCGGAAAGAGGCAGTACCTATGTTCAGCTAATCAATCTTTACATGGAAGCGGGATTGAAGAACGAAGCAGCAAAGCTGTTGGTTGAGATGAAGGAGAAAGGCTTGCAGAAACAACCTGGTTGCAGTTGGATTGAAGTTAGCGATATATCTAATGTTTTCTTTTCAGGAGGTTCATCTTCTCCAATAAAGGCTGAGATCTTCAATGTATTGAATAGGTTGAAGAGTAATATGGTAGATGAGGACAAGGCTACTTGAACAAGATAACATTCTGAATTGATGATGTTTTTACATCACTTCTACTTCTCAGAAGAAACACTCTCTTTTTGGCAGTGTAGACTGTAGAGTAAAAATAGAGACACTCTTAAGGTTTAAAATGAATGAGATATTACAAATCAAATAATTCGCTGGTTGCTTGGCTCGAACTATTGGGTCATCTGGAGATGCTTTCAAAAAAATGTACATTGTATGCTGTTTATCTTCTTCCTTTCGTGTTCATCACATTCCAGATGAGGTTCGGTTAATGCGTTGGGCACCTAGTTTAAGAGCTGCAGGTTTGGCTCCTCGGCCACGACCAGAAGATAACGGTTTTGCTCTGGTGGTTGGTGGTGGAGCAGCAATGGCAGCCCAGGGGTCTTCATCATCAGACTGTACTGTCTTTTTCAAGTTCAACGGTCTTGAAGTAGTTGCAGGTGGAGGAGCAGCTATGGATCCCCACAAATCATCGTCTTCCGATTTTACAGCTGCTTTCACTGTGCTAAGCTTTGGTCTTGAGCTTGTAGCAGCTATAAAGAGGACGAATAACACATAACCATATGAATTTTAGAAAGTTTAACATTGAGGCAAACAGATTCAGCTAAAAATAAATACCTGAAGGTCTGGAGGACTGAGACACAGGTCGTTTTTGAGCTGCTTGAATGTTAGCAAGAGCTGGAGAAGGTTTTGGTTCATCCAGCGGTTCGAGATCCCAACCGTCTTTGTCGCTCTCATGACCTTCGCTAATGCCATTCTCAGCATCTCCCCAACCATCTGTTGATGTTGGGGATGGTGGTGCAGGTTGATCTGTGAAGTCCGAGTTGGAACGTGTATGATGACTGGCTTTGACACTCGGCGCCTCCGTTGCTGAGGAAAATATCCAAGAAATAAATAAACAAAATAGAAAATGAAAAAATACTGACAACTGTACTACTCGCCAAAAGCACAGTGATCGATATACGATAAATCAAACATACAATCAAGGCAGTTTCATTTTTCTTTCCTACGATTATTTACATTTTACGAAGTTGCACATTTCAACAAATTTTACTTCCAAGGTTGAGAGAAAAATTATGGCAAGGGATCTCAAGTGTACCTGTGCTTGTAGCATTTGACGCTGCAGCAGCTAGAGATGGTGCTGACGAAGAAGAAGCAAGAGGCGCTTGTTCTAATGGCTTACCCTTGAGGGTCAAAGAACTCATAGCCCATCTATAAAAGTAAATAAATTAGTACAGTTGGTATATATAATCCCAGACCAATGTTCATATATAATTCATCTGTTAAATTTGACTTGACAATACTCACCCGATCAGACCAGCAGTTTCAGGTATAGCTGAGGCTCCTCCGGTGGCTCCTATTTCTCCAGCATTTGTCTAATAACACCCCAAAATAATTCAGTTATCTTCCATCCCCTTGACATAAGACTTTTAAGTATAAAAGTAGCTCAAGGAAATACTAGAGTTCGGTAGAGTCCTCCTACCTTCTCATAGTTTTGTTTCAATATCTGAAGAAACTGTTCTAACGGCCTGAAATGCCTTTGACCGAACATCACTATAAGGAAAATAAGAGAAAATGCTTTAGACTTTGTCGGAAGCGAAAATACTGGACGAAAAAGGGATCAAAATGCACTTAAATAAGGAACCTGTCTTGATCAATGGTTAGCACAACGATATTCGGAAGAATCCTAGTTGCTATTTCTGTGTCATCATAAGTAGTACTGGTGGCACATAATGCAACAATCCCTGCATAAAGTAAAATCCAGTGAGATATAAGATGACACCTGGAAAGAGGATAATAACAGGAATATCGAAATGATTTTTATAGAACCTTTCATCCCACACACTATGTAATAACTAGGATCCTGTTATATTCACATACCTGCACCTCGAGCAGGTGGAAATGTATCACGCAGTGCACGCACTGTAAAAGCATTAATCAAAACTCTTTCCTTGTCTGCATCATTGTTTCATGATTAGGCACAAACAAAAGAATATATCCTTAAAGGTAACAAGGAATCAAAAGAAAAAAAAAAAAACAAAGCTGCTAGAGACTAACCCCTTCATTTAGGTAGGTGGCAATATTCCCGAGTAATATAGTGGTATTGGTTCTGATTGCAGGCTCTTCATCCACTGAGAGGAGAATATAAAATTTAAACCACAAATACTGTGAAAGAAGTGCATCTGCAACATACATGACCTCTTAACTCCAGCTAAAAAAGAACCAAAGGATTGCCATAAATAGAGGTATGGAAAGGCGGTAATATTTTACTAGAAACATCAACTATGGGAAAGAAAAGGTCCAGCTATTGCGGTAATGGATGCAAACCTGTAGTTTGGAAAGGTATTCAACAGGGATCCTGAAAGTGTACGCTGAGAAAGCTGCAGCCAAAGACAAAATAAAAAACAATTTATATCAGATACAACGAAATTATGACCAAAAAAAAAATGTGATCGCCAATAAAGACAGCTAAATGTCTTCAGATGGGGTGAAACAGACAGTGACCTTTTCTAACTGAAAGTTATAAAGCAACTTGAATGGGTTAGGAGCAGATACCTTCGGAGCTAAAACGAGCATCGATTTAAGAGTCAGCTCTCGAAGAAAAGCAGATGTATCCGCAAATCCAGTAGCAACATGAGGGTATACCTAGTAAAAAGACAGCCCATTGTTTAATGCTAAAGTATGCAATTAAACGGCAGTACTGTCAAACAACCACAGTTGACACCTTTCAGGCCACAGAAGAGAAACTGATCTTACTGTTCATCGACGATTTGCCCGGACATTGATTCTCCAAATTGATCAACATGTTGCAAAAGAGAAACTCTAATAGCTCGATCATTGGAAGCAAAAAGCTTGACTATGTTGCAGTACCTAAAATCACAGAAGGGAGTACCTTTAGGCAATAACTGAAACTATACATAAAGAACTGGAGTGGATTTGAGCGTTTAAATATAAATCTAGCATGACTGAACAAACCTTGACACTGAAATTTCAGTTGATAACCACGAACCCATCTTAAGTAAGGCAGTTAATGCAGGAGCAGCAGCTGAACCATATTCAAGGGAAGAAGCTAATAAAGGAAGAAGCTGCATCAACCAGAAGTTAAAGTCAAAAAGTAAAACACAAAACCTTCACCTCAAAAGGCAAATTGTGTCCTAGTACCGAATAAAATTCAGATTCACACCTTCTTAAGCACGATCTCCCTAGGAAGCTGTTCAGCAACATTTGGAAGTTTACGGAAGAAAGTATCTTTTTCGACACTGTCTTTCAGTTAGATGTCCATAAAATGTATGGTGTCCACCAGCTTATTTTGGAAATACTCTGCCAATTCAAGTATGTCAACAATAAGAATCAAGAGATAAGGAATGGCCAAAGATAACTATGAGAAAAATAAAAACTATATAAATAAACCCAGACGGAAGGACAAGAGCAAATATACAGAGAAAAAGAACAAGCAAAGAATCGAGAAATAGTGAATTGTTTAAGGTACAAAATTTATAACCAAGACAGGAAGATTACCGCCATTTTCTAGAAGTTTTGAGGTGTTCAATCTGCGAGAAGGCATGGAACTTAGGAGTCGCTGATAATCTGGAAGCAGAGACTGTGAGAAAAGAAACATTTAACTGAAATGAAAGCCAGCTCTTAGAAATCAAAGTCATAAAAACAGATAAAAAGCAACACATCAAAACTTTGGGGAAACATACGAAGCCTATTGACTAAAATCACACCAGTATAAGTTCCATATACACTGGAGTTAAAGTTATCAAATATACATGGACCATAATCCATAAATATGAAGAAGCAAAGAAGAATCCAAATGTATACGCAACCCGATATTGAGGAACATAACATATACTCAAGGAAAGAAAGGGATGAAAACAAAACCTTAGGAATGCCGACAGTGTTACGCAGCTCCTCTGTTTTTGCCAGCTTAGAGCCCGAGAAGAGTTCATAAATAAGACAACCTTCAAAAAAGGAAGTAAAGAGCTTTGGTGAAAGAATTGCACTCAAGTGGACAAAGGGTCGAGGAGCATATAATCTCCATTTTAAATAAGCACGGCATAAAAACTACAGTACCTAATCCCCACGAATCAATGGCCCATGGTGGAGATTTTCTAATAGCAACCCAATCAGACTTGACCATTTCCATTGGCTTGTACTGTGTTCCCACTAGCCATTCATATGGCTGAAACAAGAAAAATAAGGTAGCAAAGATGAAAGGAAGCAATTAATACTGACAGAGTATTCCTATTTCCTACCCTGGACATATGAACAAGGTCTGATACTACAATGCACGTTTTATCAAGGATATCATAAATTAATGTTAAGGAACAGATATAACAGCATGTTTGACAAGATAAAGAAAGTGAACACCCCAATGAACTACAATAGTGAATGATGTGTACCAGCATAGGTCCACTTGCGGATTCATTGCTCCCATCAAACTCTGATAGAACATCAAAAGCATGGAGTTTCCAGTCCAAAGTAGGTGTAACAACAACACTCGCTAGACAGACATTTCCATGCACCTGTTAAGACAGTAGACCTTAAGAGTTTTAACTAAAATATAGGAAGTGAGGATTCAATGTATGCCATCATAAATTCAAAACAATATCTACCTGACAAGAAAATCTACTAGCCACCGGTTATATATTCTAATAGCTGAATTATAGTGTTATAAACAAATACTTACAAGTTTGCAGTCATTGTTCAGAAAGCTCACAGCTTTACCTATCTGGTGTAGCCCCAGTGCAAAGTACTCATCCCTAAAAGCAAATATTTCACAGTCACAACAAAATTTTCGAAAGGTAATCAAAATTAACCATGTCGAGCATGATAATGTCCAGTGGCAAAGCCATTATTATGAAAAAAGACAGATTAGAGTGTGACACAATTTGTTGAAATAGATTAAAAAGCTGTAGCACACTACATAATATATTTTCATGTCTTTTCTGCCTAGATGCGCATAAGAAGAGTTCATACCTCTGGGTAGCTTTCAAGCCTAGCTCCTTTATCTTATCTGACAGCGGCATAACAGGCTCGGTGACTATATAGATTGTAACTTTAGTAGTAGAACCATCATGAGTTTCGACCTCAGTACTGTGGAGAAATGAAAGAATATTTGGATGCCTCACCTGCAAAACGAAATAGTCGATGATAATCTAACAGAAAGATGCCAATGATACTAACAAAAAGTAGAAAGGAATCCATCAAGTCCGACATTCAGATAAACCAAAAGTGTACATTGATATTTACGATATTTAGATTTCCAAGTGCTTAGAGTTAAAACTTAGTGCTTGATAGAAGTTTATGTCAGTAATCAGAAAGAAAGAAAACTATATCTTGTTTGTATGAATAGAACCTAAACCATGTTATAAATATATGAGAACTTACGGTACGAAGGCGCTTGACACCATTTCGTCCAGCAGCCAAATGCCCATCTTGAGCATTGTTCCCAGAAAGAGCAAATATTGAAACTGGAGATCCATCATCCTGAAGAAACCAACAGTAAAAAATATAAGATTGTATCACAACTTACAATATCTGAAATTAGATCCAATAAAGCAGAAAAAAAGACATAAACTTAATAAAACAAAGCCAAAAATCTTAAAACTAAGCGTACTCACATACTGGAAGAACCAAGAACAATAATAATTCGAATTGGTACTTCTTAAACTACAGCTACTAAGCATCAAAATCTTAAAGCTGCTGGATCACGATCAAAGCAAGCACCAGGAAAAAAAAAAAAAAAAAAAAAAAAACGCAGAATTACAAACATCGGGAGAGAAGGGAGAAAAGAGAAATAACCTTGGAGGTACCACGAAAGTGACTCCATGAACCCCAAGCAGAAGGATAAGGATCACCGATGTTATAAGGCAGATCCTTGAGTCCCGTCCCAGATCCAGCCACTACTCCTTTTAAGAACTTAAACATGTTTCCACCTTCTCAATTGAACAACGTTGTTGTTGCTTTCAAACGGATCTATATGGAATCAGAAGAACGACGTTGGAGCAAAACGGGGAAATTCAAAGCTCTGTTCTTATGATTCTTCTTCTTCTTCTTCAATCTGCATCTCCGGAAAGATGAGAATTTCGTAGATTTGTTTTTTTCGCTTTTTAATTCGTCGGAATTATTATGATCGACCTGAACGGACTTACTTCATTGCCGTTTTCGTGTTTTGATGTTACAATTCGTGCTGTTTATTTGCTTATAAGACGTCGTGGAGTTTGGATCTGTTGACATTTTCTATTTTGGGCCGAATTCATAGTCTGTGGGCCGTATAATGTTTTTGGGCTTATTTCTTGTCCAATGGGTTTCTTGCGTAAATTTTCCCTTTCTAGTTATTCCAATCTTTTTTGGGTTTTGGAATGTTTAAAGAAAGTTAACCATTTTAGTAGTTTGTAGAAAGATGCACACTAAATAACAAGATTTACGCAAAATGATAGCTCGAATTTATGCTCAAAATCATAAACATCAATGGGACAATAAAATGCGCTTGTATTATTCCCGAAGGGCCACCACACTGTCTGTCCCGAGTTTGGAATGATTTCCGACTAATGTCAGGGGTAACCAGATCGCCTGTTACTGGACTACCAGGTAAACTGCTTGGGCCTTGAGCCCAGACTTCCCACACAGATATGTTTTTTGTTTCCAGCGTGGATCGAACCTGGGTTAGTTCCTCAATGCGCTTGTATTATAATTGGTTAAACACTTTTCTGATTTTTCTAACTCTATTAACGAACCATTGTTGTCTAAATCATTGAGTATCTCTGGAGAAGTGCCATATTAGTCTTCCAAAAATCTTTTGACTGCTAGTTTGTCCAACACCGGTTCGTAGTGTGGATCATATATGATTGTTTGTACAATTATTGAAGATATGTTAATAATTGCATGAGATTTTTGGACAACAATAAATATATGTGAATTACATAGTACAATGTTTAATCATATTTGGCACGTTTATAAAATTTGTAAGGGGCTAATTAATTATAATTAATAAGACATAATTCGGATCCAAATAAAAATTTCTATTTAGGATTGGTCAAGAAACTTACCAAACTTGCTTCAACGCCTTAGAAATTTCTTAGCTTATGTGTCTCCACTTTAAGAAAAAAGTTCAACAGTTTCAGCATTGAAAATCTTAAGTCTTCGTCTAGACTTCTAAGAAAATCTTGTAATGTTGAAATTTGAAAGAAATAAATAAACATTTATTAATAATTTGTCTTAAATCATAGAAGACCATGACTTGGTCAATGTTATTACCAGTTCCTCTGCCGTGTTAACAAAAAAACGAACTCATCCATCCTAAGTATCTCCTACCGGGTCAATGGGTTATCACTGTAGTTAGATCTTTGGTTTGAATTTTGCTAAACAAGTATATTTGTAGCGTTATTTAGTAAATATTTGTTGTTTCCCAATGTGAAATAGCCTAAAAGCTTGCTCTTGATTCTTGGACATATTTTACCTGGCGACTAAGAAAATTCCATTTTTAGCTAACCCAAACCCCCCAAAAAAAAAAACAGTATAGGAAATGGTATTATGTCGCTTTAAGAAAATAATTACAATCTTTGAATAATCTACATATTCAAAATTTCAATAGAGTTGGAACCAACATGGAAGCAAACTGTTCGGACACAAGACTAACCGTCATGTACTACGTATCTCTTCGTCTATATATATATGTATGTGTGCATCAATTTTCAAAAATATGTACTCGTAAAGAAACATAAGTTACCAAATGGAAGAGGTAATGTCAATGATCTTCCACGGAATGAAGCTAGTTAAAACGCTCGAGTCCAGCTTACCGGAAAAGCCACCGGAATCGCTATCAACCTCTCTTGACGAGATCGCAAAGACATTCGGTGATGCAAACGAGCGGCTGAAGATGTTACTAGAGATTAGAAACTCCGAGACCGCGTTCAACCAACTCAAACCGGTGGTTGTTTCCGTTGCAAACCAGATGTTAATGCAGATGGAACCGAGTTTGATGCAAGAGTATTGGTTAAGGTGTGGCGGGTCCACGTCATCTCATGAAGGATCCGAGGCCATGTTTCAGACGCAGCTCATGGCCGTTGATGGTGGTGGAGGAAAGAATTTGACGGCTGCAGCAGAAGGAACCGGCGCTAGCGGTTCCTCCACGCCAAGGCAGCGGAGAAGGTAAATATATAAGTATTATTTTAATTTATCTGGTAGTCAATAATAAAAGTATAATTTCTGGCTTGTGCTATACATGTAACAAATAATTTTTGGAACAAAATTGGTATCGTACGTAACGTAAACAAAATTAATGGACGGTGTATGAGATGAATAACGAAATGACGTAATAACATAATCATAAAATGATATAGATATATGTGAGCTAAACAAAAAAAATTGTTCAATAATCTGGAAATTTTAAAAACTTTTTTTTGCATATTTATTTTGTTAGATACATTTTTATCATGACGTGCATCAAATTATTTTTCGAAAACATGAAATTTTGATAAATGTTATAAATGATAACATAATCAAACCAGAACATACAAATGTGAATATGTGGTGGTGTATTTCTATCCCCCAACTTTACCAAAAATTAAAGCAAGAACATATATAAATATTTTTTTAAAACTCACTAGGCTAAAATCTTAATAATTCGATGATTGATTAGTCCACTTTCAAGTTTCTTTTGCCTTTTGGTCTACATCTTTTAACTCCATAAAGGGGAGAGGTGGGTTGAACCAGTTACATGTGACTAGGTTAGCCAAAAGTGGAAACTACCTCATGTCCACTTCACGTTCAAACTTTCAATGTTATTATATGACTTTGTTTTTGCAAATCAATAATAATTGAACTTGGTAGGTACTTAATGTTTGACAAAAAAAAAAAAGGTATGTACTTTTATATGACGTATGTACTAATGTAGATTAAATGCGTACGTTATTTAGGAAGGACGAAGGAGAAGAACAAACGGTGTTGGTGGCGGCTCTAAGGACGGGGAACACAGATCTGCCCCCTGATGATAATCATACTTGGCGTAAATACGGTCAAAAGGAAATTCTTGGCTCTAGGTTTCCTAGGTAATATTAACTTTACTAATTTATTTGTATATTATATTAGAGAGATTAATATAACCCAAGCTTAGTTGGAAGACGAAAATAAGCTTTTCGTCCAGAACTAGTCAAAGATTCTAGATTAGTAATGTAGAATAAATGAGTACATGCATTATTTAGTCAAAGATCCATACGTATAATAATATATTTTCATATATAAGGTCACAAGAGGTTCCTTTAGTTAACTAACCGAGATATACATATTTTTACATCACATCATATGTTGTAATTAGTCCCTTTTGATTCTTAACCACCAAATGTTTTTCGTACTTAATATAATGACCAAATAACGCTATTATTAAAATTCAGCTGGAAGTTGAAACTCCGATGTTATAAAGTACCATATATTTCTCACTTCTCAGATTTCGTTCATAATATAAAGCAATAATTTGCCTTTAGTCTATATCAATCATTAACTACGTACTTGCTTATCATATAGATGAAAGATTATTAAATTTCTTAATTCTATATTTTTTTAAATAAGAAACAATTTTGCAGGGCGTACTATAGGTGCACCCACCAAAAGCTATACAATTGCCCGGCCAAGAAACAAGTCCAACGCCTCAACGACGATCCTTTCACCTTCCGAGTCACATACCGTGGCTCACACACTTGCCACATCTACTCAACCGCTCCAACCGCATCCTCTATAGGGGTGTCAAAATGGGTTAATACCCATGGGTTACCCGAACCCGCCCATAATTTTAGTGGGTTTGGGTAGAATTATTTTACCCATATATATATATGGGTTTTAGTGGGTTACCCTATTAGGGTTATGGGTTTAATGGGTAAAACCCATTAGGGTCATGGGTTACCCATGGGTTTCATAACCAAAATTAAAAAGTAAAATTTATATATATCTATATTAATATATTATGTAAAATTTATATAAATATATGTAAAATATCTTCTTTTCTTTACAACTATATATGTAAAATATCTAAAATAACTATTAAAGTTTACATTTTACCTAAAAATAAAAGTAAAAAGTAAAATCCGATTCGGATGCATCTAAAGAAGATTCAAATGTTCTTTAAATTAAGACTATTTTTTCTTTTTTATTTGGTTTTATGGTTCTTTGGATTTGTGGTTTTAAGATTTTAGGATGCTTTTCTATTTTAATATCTAGATTTTTTTAATTTATTATTTAAAAACTTTTGTTGGTTTACAATTTTATGTTATTTTTTTGGATTTTTATTATTTATATATTTTATTATACATATATATGGGTACCCATATAACCCATTAAGCCAATGGATTTCTACAATAATGGGTTTGGGTATGTAAATTCAACCCATATAAATATATGGGTCGGGTCAAACCCGTCCATTAAACACTCGAACTCATATGGGTTTGGGTCGGGTCGGGTCGGGTTACCCATTTTGACACCCCTAATCCTCTACCGCTCCCACCGCTCCAATCCCATCCGTCACCACAGGTCGTCATTCTGTTGACTACGGTCTTGCTGTCGTTGACATGGCTGATGCTATGTTTGGTAGCGGCGGGGTCGGTACCAACATGGATTTCATATTTTCTATCAACGATCCATCTCAACATCATCAGCGTTTCCGGCAGCTGGACGACGGTGACGAAAACAAATAGGATTCATCTACAGAAATGGTAGTGATGCAGACAACATTTACAAAAATGTTGTTAATTTAATTTATTTTTATATATTACTATTATTAAATTTTTGCATATTACACGTGAAATGGGATCTAATGAGAACCATTTCTTATAGGGATCTAATGCATTTCTTATAGAATAATTTAATTTATTTTTATATATTACTACCGGTAGTTCTGTTTCTTTGACAACGAAAAAGTGTTTTGTATTTAGTGTTGTTTCACATATGTATTTTCATTATTTCATAGTTTTCTTCTCATTCTCTAATTTATTGATGAAGCATATCTTTCCAGAGTGACAATAAAAATGACTATGAATATAAATATTGTATGAAGAATTAGTTTTTCACTGATTAATAAGAGAAATCTTAGAAGTTTCTTAGTTTTTCTAAGATTCATTTAAGTTTGATACCAAAAATATATCATTTAAGTTTTTCCCTGAATTCACAACAGCGTAAACTCACGTAATGCATATTGTTGAAAAAAACAGTATTAGGCCGTGTAAGTAAATATATATTCAGCAAATCTTACATAAACAAAGTAATTTCTTTTAAATAATTAGGGGGGAATTGTTAGTTTGTCAGTTTCTCACAAATTGTCATGAACTTGTTAGTGTTTATTTCTTCTTGTTCTTGTCTTTTCTCAGACTAAAGAATCGAATAATTAGAAAAGGTGTACGTGGTCAGTGTTCAAACAAGCTCTTCGAGTGGAAGCGATGGTCCTTTCACCGTCGTCATGCTCATGAAAGGGCCTTTGCTTTGCCTTTTTGTTCATCATGTGTACTTGTTATGTCGATGGAGAAACACTTTATTCTCAATTATTTTTATAGCAGTACATTGTGACATATATAAAAGTCATTAATACCTAGACATCTATTGTGTTAAAACCGATTAAAAAGATTTTATGGAGTTATAGCATTTGATTTTTCGAATTACGTGGGGTAAAGTAAATTTAGTTTGTATAGGAAAAAAGTACTTGTACCGAACATTATAACTTAATTTGTTTTGTTTTATTGTTGTAACAAGCATTAATTAATGCCCTCGTGTACACGGTGATGCTAATGTAAAGGTAACATGCCAACAACAAAAAGACAAGCACGACAGTTCCAAGATGCATTTGTCCCAATTTCTTCCTTTTTTGCACCAAACATTCATAGCCGCAATTTGAATGGATAAGTCTCTTTACACTCTTTAGGTAATCATATTCATCTATCATATTTTTGGATGAAAAATTACCGAATCCAACAATAAAAGCACTAATAATAATCATAAAGAAACAACAATAATTATATCTAGAGGATATTGCGCAGTTATGGAGGTTGGTTTATTCTAAGTTTAATTGGTAATCCATTAAAGTTTTTCCATCTTTAGTGTCATGATGTATCCAAAATGAACTTGTGAAAAAAGAAGAAAAAACAAAAACAAAAACATTTGAATGCGAATAATCCGATACAAACATTTATCTAGTGTCAGTTTACATAAGTCAAAAAATGTAAACAGTTATGTGAAAAGAGACCCAAGTATATGGTGTTTTTATCAAACATACAAAAAAAATATTACATTAAACTAAACATACTCAAAGAGAAAACCTGATGCTGATTCATCAATCCAGATTTGGATGTTCATATAGCACTTGTTCTTTCATAATCAGGCACAAAATGAGTCGAATAAGGAGGAAAGCTGATCGTTGTCGATGAAACCAAATTGATGAGAAGTAGTACTGATTTCACCACAATAGTAGTTATTTTGATGATCATCAAACATCATCGTCTCTTGCCAAACCAATGACAAGTCATCACCTGTCGAAGAGCCCTCACAATAATCTTTACTCTGATCACCATTGTTATTCTCTTCCTCCTTAACCATGCCTGCGCCTACAGCTGTCACACTACTGATGTTGTTCTCTTGCTCTTGCACCATAGCATTGACATGGTTCTGAGCAGTGCTTGCAGCCAATGTCTTTTCCAAATCCATAATGATTTCTTGATCGAAAGGCTCGGTCTTCGCGTGCGTTTGGTCAGTGGCAGTGCATGTGTGATAGCCAATGTATGTGATTTGGAACATCTCAGGGTCTTGCTCCTTTTTCTGTACTTGCTTTGTTGCTTTGCATCCTTGCGTTGGCTTGTGTGTGCATCTAAAATAACTTCTGCAAAACATTAAAAAGCATAATGATTTAGGCCATTGCAAACTTCACATAGTGACTTGAAGTCTGAATATGTTTCGGCTTGAGATCCCTGGTTTAAAAATGATTTGACCATGTTTATATGTATTATGTATGTTGGTGTTCAAAAAAGAAAGAAAGTATTATGAATGTATTGTGTCTATATATATACATAAATAGACATATATCTATGGAGTAATTAAGGACCTTGGGAATGTGGTATTAAGAATCTCCTTTTGTCCATATTTCCTCCAAGCATATCTATCTTCAGAACTTCTAGCTTCCACGATCCTTGTATGTGATCTCTTCCTGCAAATAATAAATTACAAATTTGTTAATTTATGGCTATATCATTTTGCCTTTTATGTTAATTTCAAACAAATCGACGGTAAATAATATAAGTCTTGTTTGTAACATATAATCACAACACTAATTGAAACTAAACAAAATTCGGTTTAGTTATCTATGGTATAGTCAGCATTGATAGGCCCTATCCAATCAATCGTATTCATACGATTCCTTATCACTACCATTAACACAAACAGTGATTGTATTTTTGATATATATTGGCATATTATATATTAGGCACTATACATTATGAACAAATTCATGTCCTTTTAACCTTTACGATTACTCATTTCTATATGGGGCACTACCACACTATATGATGGAATCCAATCCATAGACAAAAATAGCAAATTGAAATGAAAAAAGTTTAAAATAAAATCCACATAAAAAGGAGATTAATTTATCAAACACGAATAAAAAAAAGAATAAATTGATATTTGAATTCAACTTTTTTTTCACTTACTTTCTAGTGTAGCATCCTCTTTTACCCTTACCAACCCCTAATCTCTTCTTCTTACTATCACCGGAATCTCCACCGTTGCAACTCGCCGGAGTCGCCGAATCATCCCCACATGAAGCATTCCATGAACCCTCGACGGAGATGGGGACAGAGACAGCGACAGGATCAAAAGAATCAAGAACCGATATAGTTTTATGGAAAGATCCCAAGATCTTAGACATGAGCTCATCAACGGGATCTGGAACACCGGAAACTGAACCCGACCCGGAAAGAAGACGGGTCTGATCGATGTGGTACTGGTTAGAGTGTTGATGAGAGAGGAGAAGCTGAAGCTGAGTAGCGAATTCATAGCCTTCGACAAGTTGGTCGACAACTTTTCTCTTTATGGATTTGGTGTTGTTACTATTTGAATCCATTTTTTTTTTTTTTGGTTACAAAGATATAATCGATATGTAACTTTTTTTAGGTTTTTGGTATGATGATTTGAGAATGAAGAAATGTTGTTGTAATATAGTGGAGGAGGAGAAGAAAATAGATTTTTTTCCTGATCAAGAGTGAGAGAGAGAAAAAATCAAAGGAAGATGCTTAGGAAAGAGAGAGATGCTTATGCATTAATAATGAACATAAAGGGTATAATGGGAAAGTAACAAACTTAGCTATGAATTTAGTCATGGTTCGAGGTTATAATTGGAAAGTTATTACTTATCTATTCAGCCATTGGCTTACCAAAGCTTTGCTTATGTCACATAGATGATGTGGAATGACATCACCCATCTCCGTAACACGTTTGATGGCTTGGTAATGGTGGGTATTGTTTTTTTTGTTCTCCTTTCTTCGCGGATTTATTTAATTTCTCATGAAAACGATCCAACAACTTGGTTGGTTTATTGGGAAAAAATGTTTTGTCTTTATCTTGGATAATATTTTATGACATTCAAATTATTTTTCCACTGGCATGAAATTCGCTTTCAAGAAAAGAAAAAAAAATGAAGAGGAGAAATGTTTTTTTTGTAATAATTAAAGAGGATAAATGTTGACAAGATATATATATCGGACCAACCACTAATATCTTTTAAGAGTAATTGGGTCAAATAGTCCTAAAACATAATAATATTTTTACAATTTTGTCAATCTCGTAATTTTATTTGGAAGTTGGTAAAATATGACTGTAAAATACGCCTCTATATGTTTTGCTATATAGAGTTTTCATAACCAATTTATTTATACGTGTTTATCGTCGTGCATTTACGAAAGTAGAAGGATCCTTGTGAATATTCTCACTGTTGAATTTTGTAATGGATAGACTAGCTACTAAAACTAAATGATAAACAAATATATATAGATTGTGGTGAGACCGCTTAGTTCGGATCTAAAAGTAGTAATCAAGATTAATCTCATTATACTAAGCCAACGTTATTTAAGTTTATCTTTATGTTTTGTAGAACTGCCGTTAATAATGCCGGAAAAGTACGTAAGTAGATAATTAATGTTTTGGATTATTTGGTAAAAGAGAGCTTTGAAACCATTACAATCACAAGTCACACTCTAACTTATGTCAGCCTATCGCTTGCTTGGCCCTGATCATTTCGGCAGTACTTAGGATTTTATACAAAATATATGAATTTTGGACTGAACAAAAAGATTAAGAATTTGTTGAAACTGTCACTAGTTTACATATTTTAATTAATACTCGTGAAACTATTGTAATATTCGTGTAAGTCATCTCTTTTAATACCGAAAATAAATTGAAACCTATCATATGATCATAAGAAAGAACTCACTTTGGGTTAGTTGAATTATTTTATTTCTTGTCGCATAAAACAAATTTTAATTTTTTTTATTAGACATTTGTTTGGAATTGAGATATTGTGACGGCATTGAGGGGGCAGGTGCCACTGAGTACTCCTCGGAGTCACAATAATTTCAGTCCACATTGTGCATCCACTCGCAAATAAATCAAAATCCATAAGAGTCAAATCCATTTGTTTGCTTATTAATTCTCTAGAATTATCACACTTATACGCTTACCTTTTCAATTATAAATAAAAACGAAACGGCTGTACTAATTATTATACAACTTAAACGAAACAGATTAGATCAAGAATAGTTATGATCAGTGTATAATGGTGGGACAATGAAATGATTATGGAATATAATTGTGTAACGATATAAATAAAAAACTTGTGTCGTGATATTTTTGATGTTGTAGTAAGTAATTGACTTCGATCGTAAAAAGACGAATGTGTTATTTCTCCGTTTGAATTACCAACAAATATGTCCAAGAAGCTTTGTTTTACTTCTTCGTTTACTCATCCAAATTCGGCATTTATCTATAAATCCCAACTGATTAATCATATGTAGAGATTGTCAAAATATGGACACTAGTTATATATTCAAATATTAAATTATTGAGATGATGAGAGAAAGGTCAACGGTGATTAGGGAACTACTATTGACAAATGACAAATGGTTATTAGAATAATAATAATTTATTATAAATACATCATTTTGTGCTTAATCTAATCTTACGCTGAGCTGTCTTATAAAATAATTAACCAAGAGGCCTCGATTAACGGATTGCTACTTATCGTTAAGACAACTCTGGATATTGATCTGTCACGAACTTTAAAATTATTATTTTAGTTTTTTATCTGCAAAACATATTAGTTCTTAAATGTGTAAGTTGAACCTTATTTCGTGCTATACCCAATCGGGGAATTCTTTTTCTCAAGGATAATTAATTAATCAATTCGCAAGAGGCGGTCCTTGCTACGTACGAATCTAATTTCATATAATACAAAAAAATTCAACAGGAATAAAAGTTAAAAAGTAGAACACGTCAATAATTCAACTAGATCCAACTCATAGTTATATAATTATGGTCATTATTACTTTATTTTATTTCTTAATTAGTCCCACTAATTTTACGGCAGCCTCTAGTTTTTTAAGTTTAATGTATTTAGAACTAAATCCCATATAGCGATCACTACTCAGATCTCAAACTATGAACTTTTTGCATTAACCAATTTTTTTGTAACCTAGTGATTTGTTTTATTTCTAGGGGTCGGCATTTGATTTCAACCAGGTACACTTTTTTTTTTTATATAATATTCTTCTAGTATTTATATTTTGGCTAGTTGATCGGTTCTATTATTGTCTGAGTTCTGTCAGTACTAAATCTGAACCCACTCTTTATCTTATAAAATTATGAAATTCAAACATATATATATATATATATACACATAAAAAGTTGTTTATGATCAACTATTGATTGTGTCTACATATGTAGCCAAAAGGTTGTTCAATGTGAGAAGGGACTCTAAAATTAAAAGACAGGACTCCCAAAACATATACAAAAGCCGGTGCTCGTTTATGGATATTCTGGTCGTGCCAGTTATAAGAAACTTATAGTTTATTACTTATAAATTTGTTTTTTTAATAACAAATTACCTATAAATTTGTTATATTTAAGTCTACCTGACTTTTCTAAAAATCGTAATATTTGAGAGTCAATTAAAGTGGTGATACACTTGCCAAGTGTCAAGTATTATAACAATGGTTTTGATACACTTCACCAATCTTGAGATTTAATTTAGAAGTATACAACTATGTACGTAATACGTTGTTAACGGCATGTACCACATATATCACGTTTTTTTCAAAATCTTATTTTGTCTTGTTCCAGTTAACGACATTACAGAACGACAAAACCTTCAAACTGAGAATCAAGAATCATTGAGCGTAAAATATATTTCGAGCTAAACTTATAACGTAATAACTAAAGATGGATCTCTGGCCAAAAAAAAACCTAAAGAATAAAGCTGAATCATGATTTCACAAAATTGCATCCTTAATAAAAATTAAAAAAATTGGAATCATACCTTTTTTCTCTCCATTCTGCAGATTATAAATTATGTTTAAAAATATAGTAGAGCTGACATATCACTCATAAATTTTGAACCACACCAATAACCATTTGGATGTTTCCGTAAGTTTTAAGTACGTGAATTTTGTCTGGTTTTGAAGTTTTAGGTTTGAATTTTGCTATATGTATTTATTGAATAAACTAAAAAGTAAAAAATATCATTTTAAAAGAGTAACAATCATTCATTGGATGCTACGGGAAACGGAGCCATGGAAAGAAAAGAGAACTTCCGGCCAAACATATCGACAAATTGTCAAAAGTGTCTGCTCATAGAAACTAACCTGTTATAATATGAATAACTTAACTAGTATGCGATACATTAATGTTCGCTTATCTATAGTTATCACTTACTACTAGATTTTACTTCTCAAAACAAGTTTGGATATATTATTATTGGATATTCGAAGAACTATATATATAACATGTATTGGTACCCATACATTTCTTTAGAAAAATTAAAGGATAGTTAAGAACATGTTTTTGTAATACATAGTACTTAAAAACTTTAGATAAATAAATGGTTCTAATACTTGTCATGAAGGCTATTAGCACTTGATTGTCATATTAGAGACAAAGGAGCCGAAAAAGAGAAAGAAGGAAGCTTCGTATATAGCTGATGAGGGACAGCAATTATATTGGAAGACTTTGGGCAAACATTTTGAAAAATTAGAAGAGATGAGTTTTGGAAAGCTAAATATGTATGATTTTTACAAAAGGTCAGAGATTGAGGCAGACAATAGGAAGCTTCTTTTTTATTTCACGGCCTGAAAAAGACATTTTCATAGAGTCTCCTTAGATGCAAATCGAAATTCCATATTCCGAATCATATTATCTATTTAGCATGTCGGATCACTTTTTGTTTAAATATTTAAACAATTAATAAATCAGCTTGATTCTAGAAGCATGACCAATGAAATCTGAACTTTTTCTTTGTATATTTTCTTTGATTTTGGTTAAGTTATTACTATCATATATGAAATGATATGATATTAACTAGGGTCTATGGCTAAAAAGCTTGTGCGTTATGTCCATATATACAACTCTATAAATTAATAATAATTCGGAGAGTTTATAAGAAACACATGTGTTTCGGATTGAATCTAGAAATTTGAGACACAAATGAAAGAATGAAATGATTATTAGTTGATTAACCTTTTATGTTATGCAAACGATTTTTAGCAAAAAAAAAATGATATGTAAACGATTAACTAAAGAAACTAAAAATATATAATAATATATACTTTGCAACGAAAACGTCACTCGAAACATCTAATTACAATTAGGGACTGTCAACAAAGATTTTTTTTTTTGTTAGTACAAACAATTAACTCTTTTTGGACGGCTAATGTAAGATTAACTAAAATAGAGAACCAAAAATAAATATTATATATACACGTTGCACCAAAACAAAGAGAAATATCCAAAACTATCCCTACCCTGTTCGCTCGCTAATTCTCCATGGGCTTGGGCCTCTAATTAGTATTATGCACTATGGCCCATAAGTATTTTCACTTTTCCACCTCTAGGACTGCTCGTCAGTAATTCAAAAATTGGGATTAAACAAGCGTGATCAACTAATATATAATCATTTCATTTGGAAAATTATTTAATGACATATATTTATTAGTTATATAGTTTAATTCTAATAAAAATATCTAAGTATCAAATATGGGTTTACAAGTTTTGAAAACTCTATGGTAATAAAGAGAATCAAAATATGGATTTGTACAATCTAAACATGGGTTTCTAATATGTTAATTAATTTAGAAAAATATAAAAACAAATAGGGTAAAATAAAGGATTTATTAATTAATTTAGAAAAGATAGAAACAAACGTTAGTTAAACAATTAGGATAAAGTCAAGGATTTACTTTGTTGTTTCTCGTAGTACTCCCTTGTTATATCTTTTTTGCTTTTTTTTTGTTTGTTCTGGTTTATAGTGATAAAACTTTTCTTTTAACCTTTCTAGTCTATTTATTAAGTTGTAATTTTAAATTAAAATCTTGGTTAAAAGCATTGATTTTAAAATCTTGGTTAACAATTTTGTGGAGAAAAATGTTTTACAATTTTTGTTCAAAAAAAAAAAATGTTTTACAACTATGATATGGTTTGCTAGTTTGTTTTTTACTTGTTTTTTTTTTAAATGACGATAATGCTTAGTTTTATTGAATTGAATTTTTTTACTTTTAATCGCTTATGAAATTCGTTAATGTTGGCACGACTAAAGTTTGTTTAGAAGAATGATATAATGTGCAACATGAATTTGCAAATGAACAGAAGTACTACCAAACAAGGACACTACTCTCTCTCGGTGAGGTCGACGTGCTACCACACTGTTGTAGTTCTTCTGTCTCATTACCAGTGTCGTTCTCGTTCCACTTGTGGTTTATGTCTCGGTATTTGCCGTTGTATCTGACGAGGCCACCGAAATTCAGGCAACTAGGGCTATCGTGGGTCTTCAATTTTGTTTGGAGACTTCCATCAAGACATGATGATCTCTTCTGATTGCTTTCTCTTTATTACTTTGATTTTGGTTTGCTTTTGTAAGCAAATATTCCGCTTTCGTATTTTGAAAAATTTGTAAAAGTAATTTAGATTGAGATTTTGCACTACATATATTTTCATATAATTAACTATTTCCTAAACAAACACATATTCCTTTTTAAAAATATTTGACATAACAGTAAAATACATGCTATTAATCAATGTCATTTGCTAAAATAAAGTAGAAATTGCGTATTGTCCAGATAAAACTAAATTCATAGTACTTCGGAGGATTTATAAGAAGCACATGTGATTCGGATTGAATCTAGCAATTTGAGAAACAAATTGAAAGATTAAATGATTATCAGTTGAAAACCCTTAAAGATTTAAAACATAATTAATTGGCATTATGATTAAGTGGAGTATGTAAATATCACTTGATATGTTTCTAATTAAAGTGTTTTCAGGTTTAGTGTTCAACAGTTATTGTCATAATTTTTGAGAAACTACCATACCTCCACGCAACAATCAAATCCGATCTCAGGTTTTGGATCAAAGAACCGATGGTCGAGTGAAAAAGAGTGACACGGTTCCCTACCGCTAGGCCAAAAGATCATGAAATCCAGTTGTAGTTTGGTTATAACACACGAAGCTCTCACAAAAAGAATTGAGCTCGTGAATAATGGTGAAGTGGTATTGAAGAAGAGAGGAAACAGAGCATTTATCTTCCTAGAGTGTTTCGCTTTATATAACCATCTTTAGATTGTTTTTTCTTCTTCTCTACGCTTTACGGCTTACCTGAGCTTAACCACTCTATACTTCTCGGCTATATTGTACTAGATTTAACCGGACCAAGTTGATTTCTATTGAATCAAATCCTATTAACAAAACACTTAGTCGGTATCGGAACCAGGAAAATTAAGTATATTTTGAAACATTGGACTTGAATAATAGTCCCTGAATAATGGATGAAGACATGACGTGTGCCAAACGTTAGGAGTAGAGAGATACACACTAGCTAGGCTAGCGATAAAAACTCAAAAAATCAAAAAGGGAAGTTGGGAAAAACAGAGTCACGATTGTTTTCTTGCATAACAAGTAACCACGTCAACACAACTGCTGTAACCTAAATACACATTTAGCAATCAGAAGAGCCAGTCAATGTCTCCAGGTTTTGGATTGAATCCTTCACACATACTATAATATCCTTCTCTATGAAAGAAAGGAACCTCAAGAAAGGATGAAAGTTTTTCAGCAACAAAAGGATGGTCCAAGAGCTTATCCACGGTGGGCCTATCTGTAGGTCGCCACGTACGGCACCGCGTCCAGAAGTCTTTTGCCGCGGGAGAGAGATACCCTTCTATTCTCCACGCGATACAGTTTCCCATCTCATGAGGGACACCCCCAAGCATCTTAAGATACAAATCCAGTAAAGATACAAAAAAATTTTTTTTAAAAAAGAACCATTATTCACTAACTAGAATAATACCAACATTCCAATTCAGCCATCGATGATGATAATTCATGAAGAAGAAGAGACGCCGTTAAAGCATTCAATCATTACAATATCCAAAAAACAGAGTTACAGTTGTTTTCTTGCAAAACAAGCAAACACATCAACGCAACTGAAACCTAAAAACCCTCTCAACTCTGACGTTTTGTCACCAGTCCAAGCTTTGACGTTTTGGATTAACTTCTTCATATATACTATACAATCGTTCCTTAACAAATGATGTAAGTTTCTCAGCAACAAAAGGATGGTCCAAAAGCTCATCCACGGTGGGCCTATCTGTAGGCCGCGACGTACAGCACTGCATCCAGAAGTGTGCTGCCACCACAGAGATAGGAATCATAGGATATTCTATTCTCCATACGATAGAACCTCCCATCTTTTGAGGATTAGCCCCAAGCATCTTAAGAACCGTACGCCCTAGAGACCATACATCACGGGCTGGTCCGATCAATCTATCTGGGCCAAAAAATGTGTTCGGCGCAATGGCTTCAGGCGACATGTACTCGGGGGTTCCAGGAAACAATAGACTAGAGTCCATAGTAGGCTCTTTGGATAAGCCGAAACCAGTAAGCTTGAGATCCCATGGTTCTCCAGGAGTGTTGGAAGGGAAGACAAATACATTGGAGGGTTTGAGGTCGCAGTGGACGTAACCTTCCGAATGGAGAGCCTTAAGGCCTTGCAGGATCATACGAGTGGCCCGTCTGACAGTATCTTCAGGCAGTCTCCCTCCGGAATCAGAGATCATCTTGTCAAGATTGCCTAAGGACGCATACTCCATGTAGATGTAACACAAAGTCGCACTTTTGGTGTTAAACTTGAAGTGAAGATGAGGGCACGAGGCTTGGACGATGAAGGGATTGGTGTGGAAGTGAAGCATGGTCTTAAGCTCCCTCTCGAGATTCTCGGAATGTTTGAGCGTACTTGTCTTCTTCATGTAAGATTTCTCCAAGTTTGAATCATTCTTGGTGGACACAGAGCCGTAGGTAACTTTGTCAAGAAAAGAGACTATCTCCAATGAAGACTCCGTCAGATCTCCAATAACCTTCCGCTTCATAACACTTGTCTCTAGGTTTTCGTTTCTTTTGGTTAGCAAAACTAAATATAAATATGGATGCTTTCCGGGAAATTAACAAATCTAATTAATTAGTACTATTTAGTTGTTTATAAAAAAAAAGTAAAATTAACATCTAGCTACAAATTTTATTTATTTTACATATTGAGAGATTTGGTCTTCCCATAATAATAACAATTATTACTAGCAAAACGTACACGTCATCCCATCACAAGATCTCACTCTACCAAAATCTATCCCGATGTACGCAAGCACAAAGCAAATTCCACAAGTCAAAACATCATCAAACGACCCATTAGCTTTACTAGCGCCTCCAGTGCACTTGGTGAACGAAATCTAAGATCAAAACTTATTATAAATAGGGAAACTGCTTCTTACTGGGCGACTATATATATTAACAAATCTAATTATGAATATTTAGTTATTAATTAAAAGTAAAATTAACATTTTAGCTACAGATTGAGAGATTTCGTTTTCCTATTATCCAACATTTACCGGAAAAATAAAATAAACCAGTTACTAATTAAAATTTGAGCTAAACGACCAACGATAATAATTGAAAAATAGAGACCGCCAAGAAGGGTGATTCCCACTTCTATACAGAAGGTCTGGTTAATAAACGGCTTACATGTAAACTGATTCGCGTAAGATTAATATTAACGGTCAAGATTTAAAATCTAGGGTCAGTGGTCAACCAACTTTGACAATCCAATTAACCCTGTCAGAGAGTCTCACACGTGTCAAATTGTCATTCATTGATTAAACAGAAAAAATCTAATCATAAATCGGAGAAACGACGATAAATTGAGGATCAAGCCAAACCAAGCAATGAATGATATGAAGTCAAGATTAAAACTTGACTGTCGTTGTTGCTAATTGCTGAATAATGATTATTGGGTTGATTATGAAATTGGGATTTTAGGTTTCGAATAAACTAATCTTACTTTACCTAGCAAACACACCCTTATTTCACGAATCATCGGACAGCATCATCAAAGCATAAGATGAAATGCCTCCAAAGCATTCAATCGTCGAAATATAAAAAACATTAACACATTGTCCGTACATTTAATTTGTTGTTAATGATGTAGCTTGTTAAGCACCTTGCCTGAATTCCATAATTCATATTATCATTAGTAAAATACCAAAAAAAAAAAAAGATTTTAAGAAGAACCATTATTCATTAACTAGATTATAATATCAACATTGCAACACAGCCATCGATGATGATGATTCATGAAGAAGAAGAGATGCCGTTAAAACAAACAATCATTAGAAGATCCAAAGAAATTAATCAAAACACCTTCCTTGAATTCCATTATTCATATTATCATTAGTACATATGCAAACATGCACGATTTAATTTATGATAACTTATTATCAGTATGCATTATTCATTATTCATAACAATATCAAATTAAGAACACAACCACATATAATAGATGATAAATCATGAAGAAACATAACCAAGTACCTCGAATTCCATGAGATTAAGTGACAATTGAAGAAATCCGGTTTCCTCAGGACCAGAGAGCTCAACTTCACGGTAAAAATCAACCCCTTTAACCGTTGGCAACAATGTGACTCCCCTCCCAACGAAATAGGTGCCAGTTGAATTCGTTTTGAAAACATCTACATATAAAGATTCTGCTGGAAAATTCTTATCTTGAAAAATTTGTAGCTCTTCATCGAACTCGGGATCTCCTTCGGTTGGTACAACCTTTGTTTCATATTTTTCGTTTTCATTTGTCCATGCTTCAACCTTGTATTGATATGGGCGACCATTGGTGACTCCGATTGTACCAATGATTGTCACAAGTAGCTTCACATCTTCATCTGTGATTATTATTTTTTTCCCTCGCATTTTTCTTCTTTTCAAATAAGAAATTTGAGTAGAATAATATTTGTGATTGATGTATCAACTTATATACACCTCAGTATTTTATTTTGTGTTTTTTTTTTCTCTCACTAATTCACGAAATTCGACATTTTTCCATATATATGTATGTTAAAATGCACGTGTTTGCACGTGTTTCATGTCGTAATTCTTTATTTATAAACGAGAAAAACGGATGCTAAATAATGAGTAATAAATGTTGTTTGAATAGAAATGTAGAATATTTCTTAATACCATTTCAAATAATAGAAACCATTGAATAAAGAAACCAAATTATTTTTTTTCAAAAATATTATATTTAGAGATTTATTTCTATATGATATCTATTTTGGTCATAGTTCTTAATATGATATTTGACTACTATTAAAAAACCTAACCCAATTTACTCAAAACTATTTAAAAATGCATTAAATGCCGTTGAACAAAATTTAAAATCTTATGGTTTGAAAGTTGAAACTAGTAAGATAGCTATAAAAATGGAAATAACTTAGGGAAATGGATGTGGTCGAATAAAAAACAGCTGTGAAAATGCATGCAATTTTTATTTAGGAAATTATATTTTAAGAAAAGAAAAGAAAATGCCTAAACTACTCTTCGACTGATACGACTTTTTCTTACTGGAGCTTATGCATATTCCGAACATACATTTTGATGCTAGAACGGATATACCTAAGGTTCATTTCCGAGATTGATTTCCTATTGGAAAACATGTTGCTAATTCAAATATATTTTTCGCGTTTTGTGAATTCATACAGTGAATATACAATTGTACGTGGAAGCAATCGCTATGGTAGATATCTTTTTAATTTAAAAGCTTGAAAGATGGTAAGATTCCGATATCGTTGCATGTATAGTAGTTAAAAGTAAGAATGATTGTGTAGTGGAAGTGGTTAGCAGTTAACTAGAACATATTGTAAGCAATCAACTAGAACATAAATATAACCCTTTAACAAAAAAAATATTTAACTAGAACATATCTTTCTTAGCAAAAAAAACTAGAACATATCTTTTCTAATTCTCTTTAGTCTAATAAAGTTCAAAATGTGAGAACCTTTAATTACGAAAAAAAAAGCTAAGATGAATCAGTCTTTTACGGAAACACCCACGTTTTGGTTTAGTCCGGTTTGGTTGAATTCGCACAGACTTTGTTTCAATTGGGTCCCCAATGCTACGGTTTTGCCACTGGAGATTTCCGCCGTCCCTCGCCGTCGCTAGAATGCTCTCATCACCACCACCGCTTCACTCACACTCTCCCTTCTCCGGTGGCGTCGGTAATTCGAGCTCAATCGGTGGAAACTCCAAACCCGAGTTACCATTCCCTCAATCCCAACCCCAGAATCTCTCTTCCTCTCCCTCTTCTTCTCTGAAATCCACGGTTGCTTGTTCGAACGCTGGAGCTATACGGAGAAGCATGACTACTGTTTCTCAGTCATTCTCAGATAGAACAGAGTCTAGCGATTCGGATTTAGGCTCGCTCGTTGTGGTTTCATTCTACAAATTCGCTGATTTTCCTGACCATGCTGATTTCAGGAAGCCCTTGAAGGATCTCTGCGAAGAATTGGTAATGCCGTTTCTTCTATCTCAATCAGAATTGTAGATGTTTTAGTGTCTGTCTGATACGAAAGGTTAAGTCTTTACTTAAGAGTGTTTTTATTGAGCATGAAAATTTGGTTTAGATTTTGAGGCAGTAATATTGGATTGGATTGTCTTGTTTCATCAGCGTGTTTCAGGTGGAATCATTCTTGCACCAGAAGGGATCAATGGAAGTATCTGTGGGATTCGTGAATCAGTGGAGAGAGTGTTGGCATTTATACAGAGTGATATCCGGTTGAATGGTTTGAGGCAAGTGGAGACACCTGTGAGTCCTGAACAAGAAGCAATCCACCATGGACATAGCAGTACCTCTCCTCTTGCAGCTGGTGAAGATGCTCCGTTTAGATGGGATCACGTTAGGGTCAAACTCAAGAAAGAGGTACACTTTAGTCTTTGAAGTTGAGACTGGAGGAGTTTTGTGGATTGTCAAGAGTTGTTTTCTTTTTGTTATGTCTGTGCAGATTGTTACGCTTGGCATGCCTAGTGTCTCGCCAATTGAAAGAGTTGGAACATATGTGAGCCCCGAAGAATGGAACGAACTGATCAGTGATCCAGAAACTGTGAGACCTCTTTTTACTATCTTGTAGCAAGTTTAGTCAAGAACTCAGTGAAATTTGAATAAAGACTTGATAGCTCTCTCTTGTTTAAATGTTCTGGTCGGTAGATCTATGATATATTGATATCAGATCTTTGAAATTGTCAAAGTGCTTTTGTGTTTCAGGTAGTGATTGATGTGCGCAATACTTACGAGACTAGAATTGGGAAGTTTAAAGGAGCTGTGGATCCATGTACCACAGCTTTCAGAAATTTCCCAACTTGGGTGGAGAATCAATTTGCATTGAAGCAAGAAGGCAATGAAACGCAAGCAAATGTGGAGCTAGAAGATTGTTCTGAAACCACTGAAAAACCGAAGACGCTGCCACGAATTGCTATGTATTGCACTGGAGGAATCAGGTGTGAGAAAGCTTCAAGCTTCCTTCTTAGCCAAGGTTTCGAAGAGGTAACCTACTAACAACATCTAACATTGAGCTGTTGCTTTCAAAGGTACTTAAAAGATCAAAAGCATTTTTGTTATCAGGTGTATCATCTGAAAGGTGGGATATTAAAGTACCTTGAAGAAGTCCCTAAAACAGAGAGCTTGTGGGAAGGCGAATGCTTTGTGTTCGACAAGCGTGTATCTGTAGAACATGGTCTAGCTCAAGGAACACATAAACTCTGCTATGGATGCAAACAACCTATAAGTGATGAAGACATGGAAGCCCCAGAGTATGAGTATGGAGTTTCTTGTCCTTACTGTTACTCCAAAAAATCCGAAGAGGAGAAAGAAAGGGCAAGAGCGAGGCAGACACAGTTTGAGGAATGGGGTGTAATTGGTGGTCCGGACAAAGGTCGTCGACCCGCCACTAAACCAGATAGTCCAAGGAAGAAGAGCAATGCAAAGCTTGGTTCTTCAATATAGAATGATGATGTTTTGATAGTTGTTTTATTCTTCTTCTTGAAATCAAATGCTGCATTGTTACATTAAAGAGTTTAAACGCTAATCATGAGGACAATGATCTTGATTTTTAAGAGTAAAACGGCGCGTTGTTTAAGTGTTAATAAGTAGAACGGCATGAAGTGTAAAAGTGACGTTTGACTAGGTCTAGAAGCTCTTTTAATGTCAACAATTCCTCAAAATTGATTATCGTCATTTCGTTAAGTATCTTTGTGGGGTTCGATCGAATTTGATAGCGAAGGAGAGAGCGAGAGATTGAGAGATCGAAGCAGTGATGGCAGGAACATCTGGTTTGCTCAACGCGGTGAAGCCAAAGATCCAGACGATTGATATTCAGGCCGCCGCTGGATGGGGAATCGCCGCCGCAGCTGGTGCCATCTGGGTCGTCCAAGTAAGCCATCTGGATCCTCTTGTTTTTCCAGCCGTAGATTTTTTTTAGCTAGCTCTGCCTTCAAATTGGGTTTCACGGGTTCTGTTCCTGTTCTGAGATCTCTATCTCTAGCTAATGTTATGTTTCTGGTGAAATTGTTGGCTTTATTTGGTTGAAAGATGAAAAATTCATAATTGATCACCATTTTTCAAATTTTGTTACTTGTTTTGATCTCATTAGATTAATTCTAAAGGTGGTTACTTTTATAAGCATCGTTGCATATATATACTAATTGCATTTCATGAAAGGCTTGATTCGATTTGGTGTTAGTCTATTCCTTGAATTGGTGATCAAAACTTCTTCATTATGATTTCCATGTACAACTTTTGATTGCAATTTCATTCAGATTTAGTCTCCTGCTTAAAATGCTTTTACATATAATCTTTAGCTTCTATTGATACTTGCTTCACGCCATCACATCTTAAGGAGGATGGAATTGCACTTATTTGAAACTGTTACATGAGTTTGTTTCTTCATGAATTACTTTCATACATCCATTCTCTGACAGACATAATTTGCTCTATCTTTGGTTTGGTGTTATGAAGAGATTAGGCCCCTTAAGCTGCTAGGGACCCTATTTTACTAAGCTTCTTTTCAAACTCATAATGTATTGTATCTGACACATTCTTTATCATCACAGCCATTTGGTTGGATAAAGAAGACATTCATTGACCCACCTCCAACTGAAGAGAAGTGAGAAATCACCAAGATTCAAGACTAAGTGAAGAGTTTTCCAGTTTCTAAGTTTGTTAACGCCTCTTTGGCGTGGAGCTGAATAAATTTTGGTTCTTTTCTGGGGTTTTGTGGTTTCATTTCTTCAATGTAGTAGACTGATTTGTCTTCTCAACTGTTATAACACAAGAAAAGCACATTCTCCAAGTTATTTGAAAAGAGAACCCATTTTGCATTTATCAGGTGTTCTTATTTCCATATGAAGTATATGAGATCATGTACCATAAGAGAGTTGTGATTATCGAGGTTGCTGAGCTTAAGAGTAGATTATTTGGATATAGAAGAGCTAACAAAGTAATGTCTGTTGCAATACAATGAATAAATAAAAGATCTTATTCTTTGCCTAACCTACAAAACGAATGTAGATGACACAAAAGAGAGAGTCTTTTTTTGGACTGCTTCTCTCTTCACCATCTTATGTACATACAACAAGACGCCCCAACAAACATTTGGCTGGAAACAATCTCTCTGCAACCTTTTTCATAGTTATGATGCGTTTGTAGCTGATGAGGATGCACTGCTTTCCTTCATTCTCCTCTCGGCTGCTAATGCTGCAGCGACTGAGGGTGGTAGATCTCTCAGATTCTCCTGTCTCTCTCCCGGGTTTTCTTCCATCTCTGCTGTTTCTGCTGCTGGTGAAGCAAATAGAGATTCAAGATCTCTTAGTGTCAAGAACTGTTGATCTTGATTCTTTGTATTCCTGCTGCTAAATGAACTTAAGTTTGTATTCTTATTCCTGTTCAGTTTGTAGATGCT